ATTTTGCAAGCACAGTATCTCTTTTACTCTTTGGTATCTTGACGATGTAGAAGGCTATCACAGCTCTTAAAGGCAAATCCAACTAACGGCTGGGGTTTGACGTTAATTGGTTTCCATTCAAACGATGCAAAAATAACCGTTGCTTTCACTTTTCAACCATCAAGATCTGGATCAAAGCAAATTTTGTTAATTTCAAGAAAAAATTGGAATCCAGAAATTTGCGCCTACAAGAAAAATCCCTCTTCTTTTATCATTATAAAATTCCCATTTTTTGGTGCTCGCCAAGCCTATTTTGCATACTTTTTCACCGATACTCATCTTTCGAAAATGAAATCAATTGGACAAGCGATGTTTCGCCCATTAGAACACAATTATTTCCTCAAGCATGTTACTTTGGAGATTTTAATCTTAAGAAAACTCGAAAATAAAATAACAATTTTAAAGAACAGTGCCGGTTTTTCTATAGGTAAGGCAAACACTTTCTATAAGCCAATGACGTTTCCAACTCGAATTGTTAGTAATCTGTAAAACTATTCTAAGATCCCATGTGTTAAATGCTTGAAAGAAAGAAGAATATTGAGAAAAGCACATAGAGTTAAGAAGGAATTAAGAAGGAAATGAAATGACTTACAGTGCTTGCACACTAACTGACAGACGTGGAAGTGACACTCACGAGCTTTTCGGGTATACTCCATTATTCTTAAAATTACCTACGTCATCTATAACTTCCACACTCTTCGATCGCCTCAATTGTGCAAAGGAATCGCAATTCATATTTTTTACATCGTTAAGGATTATTTATCCCACATTGTTTCCATATCTACTCCACATACACCGTGAGTCCATATACACTAATGAAATCCGCTATCCATCCGAGCTCGTTAAATTTGTGCCAGACCTCCCCGTGTGAATGAAAAACACTAACTTCATACATTGGTAAGCCTTCAAAAGTGATTGTTTAGGCGAACTATGCATTCAGTCAACTCCACGATGACGAGTGGAGTTGAGTTTTTGAAGTTCCGTGAAGACTTCGTTAACATGTTTACGTCCGACTTTGGACTACAATAACTCGTTCATTTAAAATTAGAATACATCACGTTCTACAAAGTAAAAAACTATATTTTTAAACTTGCTTAACTTGAACCTCATACACTTTTATAACAAACTACTGACAGACACCAAGCAACCCTTGAACGCAGTTTTTTTATATGTCACTTACGAGAGGGTTTTTTTCCTCTACTCCTAAGACACCCTAGTGTTCTTTTTCGTCGCCGATATCTACGCTCTCCTAGAATGGGCAAATCATAACAAGTTCTACCTGATCGCCCATAGAAGGCGAGAGCAAGAAGGTCGGTGTCCACCAATTTGCGACTGAAGCCTCATTATCTGTGAACACTCATAAGCTACTGGTGTCCTACGCTTTGTCCTACAGCAATCCATAAACCATGAAGCGACTCGGACGAAGTTCTATTACCTGATGCAGCCGTCCTGTGTCGTATTACACAAAGTTGAAATACAAAGGCTAACTCTCGTGCAATGCTCTTATCCACAGCACTTTTCTCCCATGGATACTCTTTTCTCAAAAAGAGAACAGTAATACCGGATTTTAGAATCGTCTAAAAGCAATACTCATATGGAGAGAAGCAATCATCATTGCAATTAGGAATTCTCGAAAATTTGACGGCTGCGCAGTGCCTTTCTTCTCCAATAAAAGCAGTCATCATGGCTTATTAAGAAAATTCGCTTCATCTACAAACTGAAAGGGCATTTCTGCCACTGGTCAACGAGGAAAGAACATGTCGTGAAGAAAGCAAGGACGGACAGACCGAGAAATGCTTTTAATAGCAACTCCCACGTCCGACTTTCTATTAACCTCGGCATTAATTGAATAATTCTTTCTACTTCTGTTCAGCAAACACGAGGTGCTACTTTATTTCTTTATTTACGTGCAAGCTGACTTTTCGGCGGATTTCGCCTTTCATGGTTTTGCGTTTTCTTTGTTTGGTTATGGAGGTCTTTGGCCGAATAGATTGCTGTCAACTTGACCTTTCCAGGCTCTGAGGAAGGCGAAATCCGCTTTTAATAGCCTTCAAAATTTAGAGGGAAAGGGTTCATCTCATCAATCATAAAGGTGGAATCCCATCTCCGCTGCCACCAACTACTTGCCCGAGATGAGAAGAAAATTCCAGTTAGATCCTGTTACAAACACCTAGCACGACCGCTAGTAAATGCCAGGTGTCGAAGATTTGTAAAAGAAGCACTATAAAAGTGTGGAAAAACAAGTCGTTAAAAGTAGCTCAAAAACGAATCAGCTTAACAAAATTGCTATTGGAATCCTGACAAGTATAATAGTCCTTCCGCTATCAGATTTGTTGAATGAAGATGATATTCCTGTGACAAGTTGCTATAAGAATTAGATTATTTGTTCTTTCGTTTTTTATTTATACACCCGTCCTCACGTCTGCTTTACGGTTCTCAGCACTTCTCACTTTCGATTCGTTTCCTTGCATCCGTCATTCACGAAGGTTTTTCAATTCTTCACTTGCGCCTTCGGCTGCTGCTTGAAGATGTTCGTTTCATCTTGAGTATCGTAGAATGCTGGTCGAGTCAAGTCAACCTGCAGTGCTGACAGAGCTGTACTGGAAAGCTCAGTTGGATTGCAAATAGTGATTTTTTTTCCGGACAAGTCTGACTGCAATTTTCCGACACCTGAGAGATGAAAGGCTTGTTGAGCCTGGGGCGAGATCGAACCAACTTTGCGATCGTGATGTCGTTTGAGGTGTTCAGAAAGTGTTTTACCAAGCATACTCAGTTTCTTTTAAGCGTTCTAACCGTTCGTTATTCATTGGTCCACCTCAGTTCACATTTTCAAGTGTTCATCCTCGGTAGCATTTGGTGGTGCACCGTCGAAGCTCTGATCTCTATCAAAAAAATGCCAAAACCGCCCAGTATACCGTTTGTTTGTCAACTGTTTCCTTCACAAATGCAACCTTGTAGGTGTCTAAACTGCTGCATGTTTAATTGGTTGGAAAGCAAACTCTTTGAATTCGGACTTTTCCTATTTCTATACCAATGAAATACAAAAACGACAGAAATTAGTTAAAAATCTGTGTTTTGAAACGATACAACATTGATTGCACAAACGAAAAAAGTTTTTCGAATAAAACAATGGAATTCTTGGAGAAAAACCGACATTTCTAGCGATAAAGATGAATAAGAGATCAGACAAATCACCAAAGGGTTAAATATTTTTCTAACTCATTTTACATGACATCTAGTGTATGGATCCTAGTACTTTTTGAATTGGATTGGTTCCCTTGCATCCATTACATACGGAGATCTTCGAACTCTGGTACTAATTTCCTGACTGCGGAGAGAAAAGAGGGTTGGTGAAGCCAATGGAGAAACGCGAATCAGCACAGGGTTCATGGTGACCGGCACAGCGCTACCCACCCCACTAAAGGCTTGAGTAGACAAAGATGAAACACTTTTAATTGAGCACATTTTCACCAGTTCATAAGTTCATGGTAAATTAGAACTCGATTGGCTATGTGCAGTTATACCAGCGGAAATAAACTATTCATAAGGTATCATCACTAAGCTTCTGATCACTTGTATTTTGGGTTTCTTGATTCTTCAACGTACTGAATATTCTATAGATACGTGTTGCGGACAAAAATCCTTATATTCTAGTGGTTTTCAAGCTAATTACTATAACTTCAATGATGCTAATATATTTGCAAAACTCCGGACCGCAGGTGCCAGCGGTGGGGAACGAACGCACTATTGTTCTTTCCGGGGAGTAACACGTTCGCCACCACATCATGCGGGTCGTTTGTTTCGCCTGTCTCTCAGTTAGTCCTATCGATCTCTGCCATCAACAATCACTCGTCAGCGCGATTGATCTGGGGAGCCCAAGGTGGGAAACCGCAGACACCTGCGGTTCGGTTCGGATTTTTGCAAATATCTCAGCATCGTATGAAATGCTGAGATATTTGCAAAACTCCGGACCACAGATGTATGCAGTGGAGAACGAACACGCGCTGTTGTCCATCCGGGTCCTTCGCTTTGCGCGTATCTCAGCTACTTCTATCGATCTTTTTTGCCATCAGCAATCACCCGTCTTGCAAATATCTCAGCATTTCATACGAGTTATACTTCGCAACATAACCTGCCATTAAGAAGAAAAAGGCAGTAAGTAAAAGAGTTAAGATTGTGATTATCTCAGCATCATTGAAGTTATATTTCTCAATATACCCTGCCATTAAAAGGAGTACGCAGTAAATGAAACCAATTACTATATTTCGAAACCGACTTTTCTTGAACCTCGGTATCACTAATCAATATGTATTCTTTCTTTGATGAGCTTACACGAGGTTGATAATGATGTTTATTTTCGGCTAACGTTTCGACGTCTTCGTCTTCCTCAGAGCCGATGATCCGAGTCGATGGTCCTCGCTTGTTATTCGTCTCGACGTGGCAGCTTCGCCTTCGTGTCGAGTCAGGTCTTCTTCACTGAGCCATCTCCTCGAATGAGGCATCCTTACTCAGCGATGCCCTTTTATACACGATGCTGATGGCGGATAGAATGATAATGTCCGGTGATAACAACTTGTTTTTCTTCCGGGCAGAAGTCGGTGTTATTATCCGCTAGCACAAAGCGTAGTAATATTTCGAAACCGACTTTCCTTTGAACCTCGGTATCACTAATCAATATGTATTGTTTCTTTGATGAGCTTACACAAGGTTGATAATGATGTTTAATGATCCAATTACTATAGTTTATCACAAAATGAAACGTATTTGCTTCGACTTCAAACACGCAGCAAATTTCGTGCGCTCATGTATTGAAATCGATGCATTTCGTAGCGAGTTTTTTAACGTTTCAATTCATGCTTTTGTGGCACTAATGCAACACTTTGGGAGGAAACGGCTGTATCTTTCGAGAAAAAATATTTCTATTCCCCATACGTGTGTTTGAAAAAGGAATTTAATGAAGAAGGGAACGGACTTTTTCAAAGTTTAAATTAGAGAACATTGTAAACATAATTAGCTTAGTTTTAGTTACTGAAAAGGAGATCAAACAGTGGTATAAAGGCTTTGTACGAGACTGTCCAAATGGCATGCTTACTGAAGCTGTAAGTTCTTATATTCGTTTTGTCTTAGATTATTTATCCAGAATGTAAGAAATCTGAGGAACGTTAGGAATTGCTTAACGAACGAAGCCTCCTTTGGTGGAGGTCCATTGATAGGAAATGTTGGCGAACTCTTTTTAGTGCCAAAAACGTAATAAAACCATCGGATTGGAAAGGAGTCATTGCAGTTCTGCCACGCTTCTTTTAATTACAGCTTTCATTAAGCAATTTTTTAAAAATACATAAACCTATCACCGTGTTTGTCAACCATTTACTTACTCGGATACTTGGATAACCCGTTTTCGCTGTCTGCATGGACCATAGCATAAATTCGTTCCTCCGGAGATTTACTGGTTCAGTCTTTGTGGTTTCTCGAGGTCAGCCTATCCGAAGCCATCTTGAGGTCATCACCACCCCAAGCAGTCGCCGGCCTTGGGTATCAGAGAAAAATTCGACATCATGTGACTAGTTTGACACCAGGACGATGGTGATTCCTGGTATTGGTATTAGTTCAATCTTATCTGGACTTCCGGCTTGAAATACCTCCTAGCTACGATGGGGCGGTAAACCGTTGGGAGGATTGTTCATTCAAGTCGAACATTCATGGAGTGAATGTTTTCCCTACTACTAAACTAAGTCTCTATTCTCCACTTGAGGGCGATGTAATTTACGAAATAATTGCCGACAACAACGGAACTCTGGTAATGGAACACTCAGATTCCTCGGACCTGTTGGTTCCGCCTTTGTGAGACTCATTTCTGTTCACAACAAGAAAGGTAGAAAGCGAGGTGGGTGTTGGCGTGGCAAACCAGCCAGCCCTCGCTCGTTAGCAGCTACGTTAGCAAGTCTTTTATCTGCACTTATAACCGCCACAAATGCCATCCTGACATCCCATCAGCTCGATTCGTATCGATCAACTGCGAGGTAACCCATCAACCGACATTAGAAACTGTGTGTAGATGCTCCTCGGTGACAGCCCAGTAACTGCACCAAATCTCGCATACTTGTTCCTGATTACTCTTTCTTTCGGCTCCACAGCTCATTTCCGTTGGCAGAGGAGACGATCTTCATAGCGCTGAGTTCGCAGACAAGAAAGCACAAAGATCAGCAAGATGTGTAAGGAACGTGGACTAAAAAACCTTTTCTCCGCTCACGAATGAAGCGTACCGCAACACGTATACTATTCCTAAACAGCTAGAAATATTCCTAGTAGATTATCATTGGAATTGCATTTTAATTGTTACTCTTCTTCTCACTCTTCTCTACAATCCTTCATCGTATTGTCATTTGTAGGTAGGTTTTCTGAAATTTTACACAACGTATCTAAATGAAGTGCCCCTAAGAACCATTTTCAAAAGAAAAAGAAAGGAAAATTTAATTTGAAGTGCTGTATAAAACCTCAGCCAGGCTAATTACTCAAAATCAATAGTCTATAGACATTCTCTTCCAGTTTTGGTTTCCAAGCTCTAGATACCTTATTAGGATCCCGAATAATGGCCGTTATTGCAGGGTTTCCAAAAGATCTACAAACAGTTTTTTCCGCAAGGCGATCCGTCTGATTTCGCGTCGTTTGTTTTTAAAGTGTTTGACGAAAATAAGGTGAACTTTTTTTCATGGAAAGATGATAATCGCCATGGCAAATTTCTCACTCATAACTCCATGTTCAGGACGGGGCGATCGAATTCCACGAATTTATCCGAGCTTTGTCGATTACATCCCGAGGGAATCTTGATGAGAAATTGCATTGTATGCATCACATTCACTTTCTTCATGAAATGTCTGATTTTTGAAACAAGTTAATTTTTTCTCAGCCGTTACACCAGCAAAGCCAAAGAGGATCAATTTCACATAAAATTGAATGTTTAAATCCATTACGAGGACAAAAAACTACATTTTGTATCACGAAGGAGCCCCCATTCGATTAAAGCCGAATCTTTTTCAGGGGCGTTTAAGCTCTACGATCTCGATAATGATGGTTTCATTACGCGTGATGAGATGCTCTCCATTGTCGATTCCATCTACAAGATGGTTGGCTCAAGTGTGAAAATTCCAGATGAGGAAAGTACACCAGAAAAAAGAGTGGATCGGATATTTCGTATGATGGACAAGGTATTTTCAAATAACAATGAGGTTTCCTCTACGACTAGAACGTCAAAGTCGTCCGTTTTTTTCCTGAAAGATACATGTGCCTTAAAACTGCGATAGATATTTGATAACATTGGTAAAAAATGCAGCGAGATGTCATCAGATCGCTTTTACTTTTTTCGAGTTATCAGTCGGTTTGTTAAGTGTGGTTTGCAGCAGCCTTGTCAATCTGTTTGCCTCAAATTAAAGAAAAAACATAAACGATAAAGGGTACGGTTTGGTCAAACCTTAAGAGATTCGCTGTGCATTTAACTCCTGCATCCATAGAGTTGTAGAGGTTCCTGAATATGCATGCGCCCTAGAAAATGTCCTACGTGGCCCTACCGACGTATCACGTTAACGCTTGCTACGGTCTTAGTGCGCTACCAATTTCGGAAACGTACTTGGTTTACGCCGGACGCGAGCTTGAACCAACGACCATTTTTCCATCGCAAAACACTTCTTAGCACCAATGCAATCATCTTGCCTATTCAAGATCTAACTCTTCCTTTATATAGTTAAACAATCTTTCAGAATAATGACGCACAATTAACACTAGAGGAATTCAAAGAAGGAGCAAAAGCAGATCCATCGATTGTTCATGCGTTATCGTTGTATGAAGGACTATCATCATAACCATACTGTTTGCCTCGAGCATTATCCTGTCTTTGGAATTTTTTTCATCATCAACGTCATCTCTATCGTCATTACACTACATTAACATAAAATTGATCAAAAGTGAACTATTTATGGAGATAGGCAACAATAGAGTTCACCTGCGTGTAAATCCTCTATCTGATTAAATGAACATCCCTCTACACGTGTGTCTGTCTTCACCTCCACTTTTTTCGTAACTGTTAATTGACTTACCGGCATTAAAAACACTTATTGAAAATAATCTCTTGTTAAATAACTTGCCATTATACAGCTTTTCACCTAAACACCGAAAACAGGATGTAATGTTTTCTATCTTTACCTCTGAATGCAAATAACCTCCATATGAGGGACGAAACGCTCTGTGAATTCATTCCGGTACATAATTTGTTAAAGGATATTTCGTGTTTTGAACAAGGTCTTACATTAGAAACACCTGATCGATAAAATATCATATCTATGGTCTTACTGTCTCTTCTTACTGTTCTACACTCAGCATATCGTTGTACAGAAGTGATACAAGAAACGTAAAGCATCCCGCTCCACCACATGCTGTTTCTTTCCCTTCTCCTATAATTGCTAAAAATTGGGTAGTTCCATCTATGTGATAGATCGATCGTGTTACGTTCAACAACTCTGTTATGTTACCACTAACATATCCCATATTTCAAATAAAATAGAGAATACAGTTCGTATGAAATGCTGAGATATTTGCAAAACTCCGGACCACAGGTGTATGCAGTGGAGAACGAACACGCGCTGTTGTCCTTACCGGGGAGCAGCGCACTTCACCACTACACCATCCGGGTCCTTCTCTTTGCGTATATCTCAGCTACTTCTATCGATCTTTTTGCCATCAGCAATCACCCGTCAACGGGGTTGATCTGGGGAGACAATATCGGCATTGAACCCAGTTAAGCTGAGGCTTAGTTATAATCACAATCTTAACTCTTCTTACTGCCTTTTTTCTTCTTAATGGCAGGTTATGTTGCGAAATATAACTCGTATGAAATGCTGAGATAGAGCATACAGTGTTTAGCCTTGACCAATCCCTTAAGGAAGAGCTATGCATCCGCCCATCAAGCCTCTTAGAGGTGGTTGAATGCGTAATCGGCCTAAACGGTGAGTTACGTTACCGATGCATGGAGTCATTTTGTTTCAAATCTCCAAAACGAAAATGATACTAGCTGAATCCATAAATATGTTGAACTTGGTTAGACTAGGATGAGGGCTCGAACCAACGACTACTTATCCTATAAGGCACCTTCAAGCATTAGACTACATATGCCCTTCGAAACATACTATAAGACATCAACGAAAATCCCCTTCAGCAGAAAGAAACAATCTCTAGAAAAATTTTTAACCTCTCAAAATGAGTTCACCTGAACCCAAAGTGAACAAAACCAGCAGTAGGTAAGCATGTCCCAGACGATAATAAAACAACCCGACCGTGTATTTATAAGAAACAACCACAAGCAGGAATCTAGCAAGCATAAATTCTTCAAAACAAAAGTACTCCATTCCACTATGAGAACAGCATTTATGACTAATTACTTAATGCGAGCAAGTTCACAGAAGCTGAGTGAAGTAGTTTAATCCTTGACCGAAGTCCCAAATTCCAACACCTACGCCGTATTTGCGGGCGATATTCAAGCGCATTTCAACCGACGTCAACGATGGATAGTAGATTTTCGAGTCACTGAAAATATGACACTGCAAAACACAGGAAATAGAAAACTAAAAGTACAATTCATTCACTAGTGATCTACAGCAAATTCTACAATCCTCAAGAGACACTGAGTGTTCGCACATGAATGACTGCACACATCATATTTTTGCAGAAGATCTCGTTGTAGCATTCGTCAAGAGAGAAGTGCTATAAGAGATCCCCACTAAGCGTTAGCAACTCCCAAAACGTTCTTGAATAAGTGAAACATTTCATTCGGCGCCTTTACTGGACAAAAAACGGAAAGAGGTTTGCTGCGTGCAAGCAGTGAGGATAGAGCAGCATAGTTAGCACATGATGGTTGTGTGGACCACTTTACGATAGAATTGTGCGAGTATCAACACCACCTCAAGTTATCACTATAATCCGGTACACGTGGAGAGAGATTGGCTACTTTGTAAATGAGTTACTTCCATGATGATATAGAAAATCCTTGCAATGACTTAACTGGGCTTCCATATAGTAGCGTTCAACTACGTCTAGCTTACGTGATCTTGGAGGAAGAAGAACTTTAGCTCGCAGTTCGACACCCAGGAACAGAAAATGCAAAAATGACAACTCGGATGTCAACACCTTTTACAATTTTAACCTTTTTACTTGTTGCCTACTTTAATTTTTAACGACAAGGTATCAGGTGAAATACAGTTAAGATGATGCTGAGATATTTGCAAAACTCCGGACCGCAGGTGTCTGAACGCGCTATTGTCCTTTCCATGGAGTAACGCCTTCACCACCACACCATGCGGGTCCTTCGCTTCGCTTGTCTCTCAGCTAGTTCTATTGATCTGCGCCATCAGCTAGTTTAAGTAGGCAGCAAATAAAAAGGTTAAGATTATAATTTCAACTTCGGCCTCAGCTTAACTAGGTTCGTTGCCGATTTGGGCCCACCAGATCAATCCCGTTGACGGGTAATTGCTGATGGCAAAAGATCGATAGAACTAGCTGAGAGACAGGCGAAACGAAGGACCGGCATGGTGTGGTGGTGAAGGCGTTACTCCATGGAAAGGACAATAGCGCGTTCGTTCCCCACCGCAGACACCTGCGGTCCGGAGTTTTGCAAATATCTCAGCATCATCTTACTTTTTACAATTGCTTCCTCATAAAGTCTTCACGTGGATATAAATGTAAATGAAACCTACAATGTAACAAGAACGTGTTCTTTCGCGTTAGCATCCCACTCCAGCTTGTTGTCCGCTTGCCTCAATTTTTTCAAGTATCTTAAAAGAAAACGATGAATTAAATTTAGTACTCCTCCTAACATAAGAAACTCACTGATCAAAATTAATCGCCTGCATCCCATCACTAGTGTATTCATAACCGTAATGGTTTAAACCAAGCATCAAATGGATGGCCAAGTCTGGTGGTGCTCGATCTAAAAGCGACTTGACATTCTGTTCAACCCAGTCGTATGGAGCCACCCCCGAAGGACTTGTCGAAGGAAAATCGTAAGTCATCATCTGGAAAAATGTGACGGAAAAGTCATTGTGGAGAAAAGAGCTGGAAGGAGGAGATGATATCAATTTAATACATTTCTGTATTTAAAATACACTACCGAGGAACTAGACTCAAATATGCAAATTTCAACAAAGTATTGAACGTTAGCTAAACATAGTAATTTTCTTGTACAAGTCAGTCATCTCTCTACTTCCTATAAAAGTGCATTTCGAATATGAAATAAACTAATCCCTTACCTCTATAACAAAGGAAAGCATTCTCAATCCCATTTTATCTCCATTTATGTTTAAAAAAGCTCGCCCATATTCAACACTGGCAGATTAGAGATAGAGAGGAGGCAGTATGTATTGATCATTAGCACATTCGCAACGACGTAACCTTCGCAGGAATCAACAACGTGCGAAAATAATGTCCGCTTCGAACTTGAAACCAACATATCTCAGCTCCAAGCAAGTTTTATTAATTGCGGGAATAGCTATTAGAAATAAAAATACCTCTCAACGGTTTACCGCCTCATCGTGGCTGGGAGATGTTCCTGGGTGCAGGATTGCAATGTACGGTGGAGAGATTCAACCATCAAGACGGGAATTGTACAGCGGATCCCCCTGGCAGGGTCTTCCAAGCTGAGAAAGGGTACGGCGTTTCCACCAGGAAACCTAGCTAACAGCAAGCCAATACCAGGACCCACCACCGTCCTGGTATCAAGGTAGCATGGTAGCAAATCTATCCCTGATCCACAAGGGCTGCGACTGCTTGTGGTGGTGAAGACCTGGGGCAGACTTTGGCCAGCCTGACCTCGGGACTCCACGGAACGATAATGGCTTAACCTCCGGCTGCTTTGTAAATGAGTTACTTCCATGATGATATAGATCTCAAATCAAATCTCCGAAAAATGGAGATTATGTTGGGAACCGCACAACCAATGAGGACGGGCCATTCAAGTATCAAAATTGGCCACCTCCTTATATTCCGAATTCGAACGAGAAGAGAAAACAAGCTATCGATATTAAAAATAATCTACTGCAAATATTTGCATCCTGGATAAACGCTCTCTGGCTCTCTCCGTCGCTCTTTCCCACTCTCAGTATAACGTTGAAATTTCCATTTTCTGGTGCCCATGACATTTTCACCCACCTTACTGCAACGAGGCTCATATTTCGAAGATCAAGCAAGTGAACAAGCGAAACTACTGCTAAGAGGACAAGCTGTTGTCCCTCTGTTCCCACTATACTGTTTATGTTAGCATCTGCAGGCTTTTCGTACGAAATTTTAGAGACGTAACACCTCGCTATCGAATTTTAGAAGGCTGTAGTCAAGAACACATTTAGATCTGAAGGCACACAGCATTAAAATTGTTTGGGGTTGATGCAATTGATCGATGGTTTTTCTATAAATCCATGAGATTCTAAACTCCTCAATTACTCTGTTGATCGAGAAATTACCATTTGGTCAAAAACCCAACTATGGCGCATAGCTAGAAGAATAAAAAGGAATAGGAATTTAATGTATTCTTTAAAGGAAGACTCGAGCACCTGTATATAGTCGACATTTTCGGCCAATGCGTAAAGATGTGACGTGGTTAGCATTTTTGTTATTTGACTGAAAAAACCATCAAGATAGTTATGAATAGGAAAAGCAATCAAGACACGTACTTTTTTGGATTAAGTGCAGGACCAACGGCTAAGATGAATTGCATATTTCGCTTATGAAAAGTTGATCCCCAAGAATTCATCATTTCGACGAGCAAACTAAAACAGTACAGCAATAAATGGCGGAAAAACCTTCAGCGAACTGCACAAAGCTGTGCAGGTGAGCATATCGACGAACTGTCATATTACTACCTCTCAAAATACGTTGCTAACCAATGACTCTTTATACTTAAATATACCTGACCTAAAGCCAAGACAGTTACGTTAATGCGTTTTTTGGTTGAAATCTTAACTCATAACGTCTCGTATGGACATCACAGTGCTCACTATGGCTTGGACCAAACGACCGTATGGACACCGCATCCAGTTTAGTGGGTTCCATAGTTTCTTTACCACACTATGCATATTCATTTGTTAGACAACCGAAAGAAAATTGGCGTCTGATGGTTGAGACCGGAAAAACTATTCTCTACACTTAATGAATTACGAAAACTCTTTTTCGAGAGAGTTCACTGGCCTGCAATCTACGCAACAATTGATTGTTACCTCATTTCAATAGCTATGGTTACTTCACAGAATGTGTGGATATAAAAATGGATAAATAGACTCAAAATAAACTACAAAATACTTCCAAATGGTAGTAGCAAAGCATTTTCAAATATGGTCCTAAACAACACATAGTAAATAGTAGCATACATATGAATCACACTTTTAGAACAATAGACCAAAGTCTCTTCTAGAATTCTGTTACTTTCGTAATCTCTCAAGACCTGTATTTCTTGAGAAAATATTTTTTATTTTCAAAAAACCAGAAACTCCGCAGCTAACGAAAAACTGCGCGTAATCGGTTGGACCAGTATGAACAAAGGCACCCAAGTGGAACGGATTAAATATGGACACGGAATGCATGATGTTTAGCGATGACAGGCAGTACACCCACCATACCCAGTTGTTCGACCTAATGCAGGTCAAAAAGCTCCCATCCCTCCGGGATCTGCAGATTTTACGAACCTCTTCAGACAAAAAACAGCTACTGACCTCCTATAATGAAGACCTAAGGAGCGCTCTAGCACAGCTATCCCAGAATTTCAGAGAGTCTATTCGACGAGCATTCTATGACATTCATGCGGAAGACAAAACCATCAAGTCCAGCCAGTTCTACTCGAGAACAGAACACGGAGACCATTATGGATGATAGACCCAATCCAATGAAACTGCGGTCGGCGTAATATGTGAAGTCGGTATAATATAAATAAACAAATGAACAAAAACGTTGAATATTCTCCTCAATACAGTAAGAAAACATGCAACAATCCAACAACGAAACTCAACGTTGCTGAGATACTTGCAAAACTCTGGACCGCAGGTGTTTATGGTGAGGAACGAACGCGCTATTGTCCTTTCCGGGGAGTAACGCGTTTACAACCACACCATGTGGGTCCTTCGTTTCGCCTGTTTCTCAGCTATTTCTATCGATCTTTGCCACAGCAATCAGCCGTCAGTGGGATTGATCAGGGGCTCCCAAATCGGCATAGAACCCAGTCACCCTTAGGTTGGAGCTCCAGAAAAAGACCTTTATTGAAGACGAACTCTTATTTACACTCTATAAAATGAAATATCTTCAAATGTTTTCGACATTTATACTCAGGTGAACAGGTCAACAAATGTACATAACTTAGATCCAGAGTTACGCGGTAGGAATCAATCGATTTAGGAAGTCTACAATAATACCGAGGAAGTAGTCAAAAGACAAAGAACACCCAACCATATCCACCTCATTCAGATCTCGATCTATAAGAGACGCTGCCATATTTGCCATAGAAGGATAAAAGATTAAAGCTTTCGATGTTGATCAATCCCTGAGGGATGCGCCATGGATTCGACTTCACTAAGCATCGTTGGAGGTGACTGAATGCATATCTGACCTTTATAATGACTCGTGGTGGCCTCGGGAATGGAGCGCCTGGTGAAGGTGAGCTTTGGGCGCGGGGAACAATACCATGGGTATTTCACGGCGCCTCTGACCACTGCGCTACACGCACCCTTCTATATCTGCCATATATGTCAAAAACCAAGTAGGTGAGACAAACGATGTGTCTTGAGGACATCGACTGGACAGCACTTATTAGTGACTGGATCTTATGGGTTGTTAAGCGTGCACGATGAAAACCACAGACCCACAGATCAGACTTTTTAAGGAATACCGCTGACAGAAAAACAGCAGAAGGTCGTGTGGAACGGCGGTAAGGAGGTGCACAAAGTCGGTTACAGGTGTATCATTAATATTTTTATCAGAGCTAGAATTCTTCGAAAAGAAGCATAAAAACCACAAAAAGGCACTTACTTTACAGCTTCCCCTCGAGTATGAATCATAACCTTTGACCAAAACTCTATCACCGCACCATCGAAATTACTGCGCTAAAATCTGAATTTTAAAAAGTTTGCAGGAATAGTATATATTTACATTCATTCCCACTTTTAAATTAGAATAGTTTCTTACACCGCTAGTACTATACCAATTACGACATATATATATATAATGTATATATACGTATATATACACCTATATATATATATATATATATATATATATATATATAAGTTAGCGCCAACGGTCACCGTTTTATTGGTTATCTTTGTTAAAGGTTCTTTCAAAGATTTACTGCCTCACGGTGTACCTACGCGTTGGTGATGTAAAACAAGAGATGCATACCCTCCTCAGCAGGATAGCCATGCTCAGAACGAGACCAATATTTCCATTAGGAGAACCAGCTATGAGTAAGCGAATAATAGGGTCGACCACCGTCCTAGTATCAAAGTAGTCGCATGGTGGCAAATCTCCCTCTGATCTACTGTGGCGGCTATTGCCTATTGTGCGTGACGACTTGAGGAAGGCTCCAGTTAGTCTAACCTCGAGACTCCAGGGAAACAGAATGGTTAAACGTGCAACCTACAACCTACCTTTTCAACCTCAGTACCCCAGAAACTGGGCTGTTCAAATCTCGGATTGCACAGGACGTCACTGAGAGCGATCAGAACGAGCACGCCTACGACAGGCCATGGAGGCTGCTCCTTCAATACCGACCTTTACGCTGTTCTTAAGTCTCTTAGTCGCATCAAAATTCATATGATAACTATACAGGGACAAAAAGCAGAAAGATCGACATGCACCAGTTCGATGACAGATCTCACGTCATTCGTGGACGGAAATTTCCGTTGCGAAATGTCGGAAGCAATGGCTTTATCGGTTTCGTAACTAGTCCAGTCATGTGCAATCTGATCACCGCACATGGTCATCCTTTGTCTCCACCTTTCACGTCAAAAGAAGGCTAGTGTCGTCAACTTTTACTCGCAAACCTGTAAATCTGATGAGAGCGAACTGGATACGTTGCACGACCACTTGAAGGAAATAATTCGCCACGAGATACCTCCTTCAGGAAATTCGTCGTTGGAAAATTTAACGCGTGATTAGGAACGTGCAATGGAAATGAGTATAGGATAGAGAAATAGAGTATAGAAGGACGAAATGAGAATGTAAACCGTCTTATAGAATCAAGTCTCTCCTAAAAGACTTCATTTTTCGAGAAGACAGACGTTCGTAGATGAACATGGGAGTCTCTTAACGGCGCGACCCATGCGGAGATCGATCATATTCTCAGGAACAGAAAATAGTGCCTCTTTGACACCTCAGCGTTACCAGGATTCTGTAATGCATCCGATCACCGCCTCTTCTGTATGAAGAATTGATTCAGCCATAATATTGGAAAACGACTCTTGTCATCGTCCAAGAAAAATGAAACAAGTCGTATATGATAATATTCTCAACAAAATGTCTCTTCATATGACTGGTAGATAAACGTAGAGCTGACCAAGGACTACACGCTGCATGTCGAAAGATTCAAGTTTGCGCCGAACTCGTCTCAGTTCCTCAATCAAGAATTTCAGACCGCATCGTCATTGATACTAAGGAGTTAATCGGAAAGAAAAAGACACTGAAGCTTGATCCTACTGCAACATTATATTATAGGAAATGGACGAAAAGAGCAGTGGAGTGGACTAAAAGAGAAGGCAGGTGTCCTCTTGTAAGACCGCCAAAACGATAAGCAGACGTGTTCGTGGCTATCTTCAACCTTCTGCACTCATATATAGCAACGATTTTAGGATTACTGAATGGGCATCGCAGATGTCACCATGTTCGAAGCAGACCACCACCATGGACGATGATTGCGCAAGAAAGAAATAAATTGAAATTTTGCAGGGACTCGCACAACCAGTGAAGATGAGCCATTCAATTATCCGATTATGTTGCTCCAAGAAAAGTCACATTGAAAAAAGATTTATTCGATAGGTGACGTTGTACTCCCCAAAATTCTCCCCGGATATTTCTGTCCATTTAAGTCTTTTAAACACAGGTAAAAAGTTACTCACTGTAAGAAGATTAATCAGATCTCCTAGACAGCGATTCATCCATGCCTCATGTTGAATAAACTGATTGATATGATCAGGTGACCAATCATCGAACAGCACACGAGGTACAATCTTCACATAACTATTGTTCTTACGTACCTCCTCCATCCATTCTAGAACGAATGTCTTCAAAATAAAATATTAGACAAGACTTCAATTTAATTTGATTTTGTTTTGGATCACTGGATATGACTGCAGAAAAGATAGAGACTGGGTAGATGTCCAAGTGTTCAAGACAATATACAGCACTTGATATAGGACAAGACTTAAAAAACACTCCTTACCCGCATAGCACTGTTCTAAAAACATGTAGTGCTAACAGTGCAGTCACTAGTCGTACATACCCTCTAGATTCTCGTGCCTTGCTAGTGATTCATGTCCTATGTACTGCATTGCATAAGTGAAGGAGGGCTTATTTCAACCACTGCCGAATGACGTTTCATTTTGAAAATACTGCCAGCTAAAGAGTGGAAAAGCTTCTTCTAGGAACATCAAGAATTATCACAGCTCACGAGGAAACGGAATCACGAGGAAGCGAAAAACTTTCTCCCAAGCTGCGAGTGCTAGCGACGGCTTATGGTTAAGATCTCTGCAAAGCCTCATATGGGCATTTCATCAACTCAAGTAGAAAACCTGCTTAAACAGCAACCTAACTGTTTCATACCGCAAGATGAAGTCTAACGTGTTAAAAAGTGAAGCAATTGATGATATTTAAACTGAACCTGACGTCGTGACTTTCTAATGGAAGAGTAGGAACAACAAGAAAAAACATGGATATCTCCTGAGAATACTAAGCAAACATGAGATTCCTGTAGAAATATTTATCTATTGCCATCATGAAAACAGATCTGTGGCAATAGATAACCAAACGCTGTATATTGAAGAGTACTGGCAAATGAGGTTCTTCGTTCGAGCGGCTCTACAACCACTGGATTTAATTCGATGCGATAACGAAGAGCGAAACCTTGACAAGGACCGGCTCAGGACCATTGGCTCAGATCAACGTAGCCCTCTGAAGGAGGCAAATTCGCCGAAGAGCTCATGCACAGAGGCCACACAAATATTTTGCTAATAACCTGTCTTGTCTTGGCACAACAATCAAGGAAAACGGATATATCATTTATGTCGTGATCTTTATGAACAGCAGAGAAAACATCGGGTTAATAAATATCGATGCGTTAGATTTTGTCAAGCGTCCATGTGTTGTTCTCATATCGACCACAGATAATCCTCTTACCTTCACCTTAAATATCGGTGACCAACTAACTGCTACTCAACACACTGAGTATCCAATAAGCTCAAATAGAACGCGTTACAGTGTGATCTTGAGAAATAACCACCAACTTCATTGTTCCATCGCTGAAATAAACTGCTTTCGAAATTCTACAAATTTATTAACGAAGATTTCAACATCGGAACAGAATGGCAACCGAAGTATACGCTAGAAATAAGAAGACCGAAACCTTTTTGATGTTATACGAGCCGACATCATATACTCTGAAGATTCCAAAATTTACATTCGATTCGTTTCCATATGTCTGTATTTCACCGATGGTTTTCCGACTTTGCCTTTAGGTTCTGGCGCTGCTCGAGGGTTTTTGGTCTGCTGAATGCCGACCGAATCGAACCTCCTAGGAATCCTAGAACTACCGTGTTAGTACATTCCCAGATCTTCACCACATGCAGTCGCCAGATTTTGTGAATTGAAGGGAACGCGTTGATGCTAACAAATCTGTTAGCAAGTTCGAGACACCGAATGGAAGCAAATCAAATGGAAATTACGAAACTCGCTCACGCTGAAGTATGGGCTGCATTCTTACTAACATAGCAAACAGTTTTCCGAGAAGAGAAGGAAACCTTGGCTTGATCGAACTGCGATAGTGCAGAAGATGCCAAAGAAAAAAAGGTATTACGACGATACTGAAGGACATAATTTCTGATAGCTTAAAAAAGAACTACTTTGAAGAAGTGCTGTCGAAACTATCCCAAATATAATGTTTCGTTATCAGCTCTGCTGAATAAAGATAAGATCAACCAATATGTATACGTTATTTGATAAGCTCATTCCATATTGATAAAAAAATCTTTACTCGACTAACTTTTCGACGTCTTTGTTTTCAAAGAAGAGACTCTTATTTTTGTCATGATATAGCGTTGATGACAAAGAATGCTTACTCCATTTTCCTAGTTTTCGAGCGGAGAACGTCATTAAATTCATTCCCTATTAAGGTCGATTCCCATCAAGAGCACAAGTCCACGACCTGCGTTTTAGGTGGTTCGAAATCTACTATGGATGCGCCCTAACTTTCTAATCTACAGGTTCAACTAGAACCTCCACTGCCACTAAAGAGCTAATGAGAAAAGATGAAACACGATGCAGTCACTTTTCACCACTTTCCTACTTTATTACTTACTTCTATCGTTTTTTATTTACTGCCTATTACTACCAATCTCCCTGATGGATGACTGCTGATAGCATCTACAGATTGAAACACGGTTGAAAGAAAGGCGAAACGAAGGACCCGTATGGTGTGGTGAACACGCTAGCCCTCAAAAACGGTAATAGCGGGTTCCATCCCACCGCAGACACCCGCGGTCCGGCGTTTCGCAAATAACTGTATCATTGTGGTTACTTAGACGATAATTATAACAAAAACAAAGCGAACAGAATTTGAGCTACGCAAGCATTACTCATGCTAATTTGTCATCGAAATAATTAAATAGTTAATAAGATATCAAAATTTATCTTGAAAAACGTCGTTCAGTAAATTTCCTTCTTTCTAAGCGGAACTTATGCAAGACTCCCAACAAGGCAGAATGGAGTGCCATACAAATACAAAAGAAAAGCTTATTGGTCAAGTAGATGGACAACTGAAAGTCAATTGGTCAAAAATCTCACCATGATCAATATCATGAGTTCCTAAGATCCGGCAGCTAAAACTCATGTCAGCCATTTGTGGCTTTAACTGAAACAAAACCGTGAGTTAAGAAATCTGTACCATAGATTCGCTTTGGCATCAAACATCAATCTAGTTCGAAGTGTCAGCATTTATAAAGATTTTCTTTAAGCGAAAATTCTATTATAGTAGCAGAGAACTCATCACAAGTGGTCTTAACCCCATGTACAAACTGAAGGCTTAGTTAAAGTCTCCTACAACGACCAGTAGTTCAAAGTAATATTTTAGAAATACGAAGTATGTTCAAGTTGTGTCCAACGACCTTAAGCTCCCACAAGTATAGAAAACCTGAAAAACCTGGATCCAAACAGGGGATACATGCGTGAGCTTGTGCGAGACCCATTTCGCTAAGTCGTATCCTTTGTTGTTCCACTAAACAGCTGATTTTCATCAGGAAATATTCTGTACAGAAAGGCGATATTTTACCGGAGTAACATAGACCAGCACTGGATTCTCAAACTTTCGAGGGGAATAATCCACGTTCTCATGATTTCTTAGGATTGAGTGCTTTGTCACACTTGACGAAGGATGTAGAAGAGGTGGCTCCTATAGAATGAAAGTAAGATCCCAAATTCAAGATGAAATTTACAAAGAATGCGATATACTGATTTATAACGCTATCTGAATATAACCGCAACTATACCCTTTCCTTCTCAGTGGCCTGCTTTTCAATCTCAGCGTTTGCTTCCTCCTTAAAACAGTAATATTTACACGGTTAATAGTAAATATACTTCTCTCGTAGATCAAGATCAAATTACCTGTTTTCGCTTCCGATCCGACTTGCCCTTCTGTAAGGACAGAGAAAACAGAAGTAAAATTACAACCACTCGTAACCACAACATCAAGGGCTAACTAGCAATAAGCCTACTGTCTTCACAACTTCTAGGTTATGTGTCACATTACAAGTAAGTGGAACATCAAACATTTTAAAAGAAGAACGTCATAAGGAACCCATCAAAGAATTTGTTTACTATAGCAATTCAACAACATTATAACAATACAAAAAGGTGTCGGGTCATCTAGTGGAAACAGCTCAAAATCATATCCAACTCAAACAGGAAAAAACGAAGAGATGACACAGATAATAACATTAAGACGAGAATTTTTCCCAGATCACTTCGCCTTCCGAGCAAATTTATCATGTCGAAGCCACCACTGGTCCCAATCGTTGTTGAAATCGCGCTTGAAAACTGGAAACGCCACCAGTGGGTCAGGGTGGATATCCTGAAGACGAATCCCGGCACGTTCTACCTGAAATGAAATCTCGGAAATAAAATGGCCGATTTTTAAGTAACAACATAGGAAGTGATTTCTACAGAACAGTGACGGTTTGCATCAATTGTATATCGGGCAAAAATAGTGGCCATGTTAAACTTTAAACCGAAACCTCATATTTTAGTTCATACTCAACTTGATCGCCTTTTGCAATAGATATTAATGGTGCCCATGAGAACACACAAATGTTTACTCATAAGACACAACTTCTCCCATCCTACGAGATTAAACGGCATTTCATAGAGCCAATAGTCTCTATTTCCCATAAATTTCCTCTGTGTCAACGCTCGTATTTCAAAAACGAAAACAAATGATGAAGAGGGACTTTTTTCCAGCAGAGATTAGGTGCTTTCGTTAGTGTTCCGGTGATGTGCTTTAAGAAAAGACAGAAAAAAAGAAAACATGCCGCTTTAAAAGACAAATTTTCAAATTCGTATTATAAAGCTGGAACAACACGACGCAATTGTATACAGTTTTAAGGAGATAGAGAAATGTCTCTTCTTAAGTCCGCAAGGCTCTCAACTCCTCCTCTACTATAAGAAGAAAAGAAATGAAATGAAATTTAAGAAAACGAAAGAAAGAGATAATCAACAACTACAGCACGCAGAGATTACGAAGTATAACATAAAAGGACGCCATGGACGTCACTTTACACAAAAATCTAGGACTTAAACAAATGTCGAGATGGATTTAACTGTTCAGATATAAAGGCCAAAAATGCCAATATTTCCCTTTTCAGTGTCTTATATTTGACAGATATTCACAATATACAGTTACACTTACAAACAAGAGATTTCCTATGATTTTATAATCGAGAAATGTCGAGAACTTTGGAGAAAACCCTAGTACTTACTTAGTTGGATACTTGGATGACCTGCCTTGGTTGGTTGTGCGGGCCCTAGCATAATTCCTACTTCTTCGGAGTTTTGCTGGTCTAACTCCTGTGATTCTCCGGAGTCCAAAGGTCAGCTTAGCCAAAGTCCCAGATCGTCACCACCGGAGGCGGTCGCCGGCCTTGCGAGTATATTTGGTATATTTGCCACATGCGACTAGTTGGATATCAGGGCGGTGGTGGGTACTGGTATTGTTTTAATCTTAGTTGCACTTCCCGACTCCCATCCAGGATGTGGCAGTAAACCGTTCGGAGGACACCCTATTACATCCTCTACAAAGTTGTAGACATAAACACAACATCAAAAAAAGGTTAACAATTTAGGATTTCGAAAACCGATATCTTAAATATATTACTACAATTCACTGAAAAACTGAAGAAATATTAGCATTCTAACAGCGCAACTGGTCTTTCAATCTCTCCAGTCTATAAGTTTTCCATAACAATGGTACTTAAAAACGTGAGTATTTGAAAGATACACTTCCACTCTATTGGAGCAAATAAATTCCTTGAAGCACTACCTTAAGTTTAAATCCGTTATATATACAAATCTACAAAAGAAAAAAAATGAAAGCATAACCGATGGACTGACCTCAGGCATCGGTAACTGTTTCCAGTCCTTATACCATTCTCGAAAGTCGAAATTGCGAAAATTAACACCAAATGTAATAGTGCCTGTAGAGAAGAACATCCCTATGAAGTTTTAGTTAAACGCAATATCGCATATTTATAAGCCTCTTCAAAAAACGAGCTTTTAATAGTGTCTAACAACTTTACTATGTATTGTGGATTGTAAGCTACTTGATCCAGAAAAGTACCGTGTTCTTTCGCTGCGAGTAGCTGAGCTCTTAACATAGCGTACTGCTCTCGACAGAGACCACTCTTCAAAATATCGATCGGTTGATGAGTACCGTCGGAGAGAAATTGCTCGATAAGAGCAGGATTTCGGAAGTCAAAGAATAAGTACTCATCACGGCACACCTGCAAAGAATCAGCTGTGTCAAAGATAGCATTAAATAACCAAGACCTTATGAAGCACCAGATTTATATGGCAGGTAGTTAAGCTTAGGCGCGTGTAGCGTGGTGGTCAGAGGCGCCATGCAACACACATGTGGGATCAATCCCCGCGCCCCAGGGCCCATCAATCCATTCATCCCTACTGATTGGTATCAGACTTGTCTGAAAGGATAGCAGCACAGGATCGATACATCGGTAGGCCATCGCGAGTCATTGTAAAGGCCAGATATGCGTTCCGTCACCTTCAACGATGCTTAACGAAGTTGAATTCACGGCGCATGCGACAGGAATTGACAAGTGCCGAGAGCTTTGCCCTCTAACCTTTTATAATTAGGCTTATATTAAGCAGGACTAACACAAAATGTCCAAGAATTTATGTTGCTAAAACAAATCCAGTTTAATGTAGAAGTTTAAAAAAACATTCATAGAGCAAGTTCTCAGAAAGTAAGATGTATAATAGGTAGGACTCACTGGGCATGCATTGTTTATATTAAAACGTCCATATCTATCTATGCAGAAAAGACGAGGTGGAGGTTGTAGAATTGATTGTCCCTGAACTTGGTAAGTGAGAACTTAAAATTCCTCCCTCTTTCTAAACAGAAGGCTAAGGATAACGCCTCAAAACATCAAAACACCAACAAGACGTAAGAAAATGCACCTTGAAATTCCTCCTATACCAGCGATAAATTGGTAATCCTTGATAGGCATTTTGGAAAGCTGGAAAAAGCACAATGAACCAACTGAAACAACCATAAACCTGCTGTTCTCCAACCTTTACTGTTCATATAAGCTATTTGCTCTTCGATTGTGTGCTTTGGCTTGTACAAACCTCTCTTCTTTTCTATATGATTGAATGCCCATCCAGTCTGAAGTAAGAAGAAGGAATATCGGAACCTATCTAAACTCTCACAAAAACACATTTCACAGAAGGAAGACATCCCGTTTAGAGAGATATATCAACGCAATAACTAGAACCCTACTAACCGCTTACCACTTCATCGTGGCTAAGAGGTGTTCCTGGGTGTGGGGCTGCAATGTACAGCAAGGGAATTGATCCCCTCAGGAGGATCACCCAAACCGAGAAGGAGTCCGGCATTTCCATTAGGAAGTCCAACTAAGGGTAAACCAGTGCCAGGATCCACCACTGTCCTGGTGTCAAACTACTCGCATGGTGACAAATCTCCAACTTATCTGCAAGGGCGGCGACTGCCTATGGTGGCGACGACCTGGGGCAGACTTTGGCCAGACTGACCTCGGGACTCCAGGGAAGCACCATGGCTAAACCATCAAATCTCCGAATAATGGTGATTATGCTAGGCTTACATAACCAGTGAAGACGAGTCATCCAAGCATCCAAGCAAATGAGTAGTAACTGGAACAATAAAGACAACGCAGAGAGAGTAATTGGCCAAGAAAGTGGTTAAATAAAAGAACAACATGGAAAAAATATATTAACCTCTTCAGGTGGAAGAACTTCCTTGAATTTAGGCTGAGGAAATGCTAAAATGGTTGTATGAATGAAGTGACGAACAGTTACATGCCGAGGATTTAGCATCTTAAAGCTATTATTTACATTCAAATGAGTTGTTTTAAAACAGTTGAAATAAAATAATGAAGACGAAACTTTTAGCAAACAATGAACAAAATTTGATAATCCATTTAATAAATCGTGACGCTATATAGGAAGAGCAACCAGAAGGAAGAGATGCATACGAAATGGAAAGTATGAAGAAAAGAATAGGAAATGAAACAGGTGAACAATGTGTAAATCGGTAGTTTGGGCAAGGGCTCATCATAATTATGCTGTAACTGTTACTCTAACAGTCGTAATTCTGTTGAACCATCACAACACCATCGTTGGTCACGTTCGTACTTGAAACTTTCCAGCTTTCGTAATATATTTAACGCCTTTGAAAGGCTTGTACTTCTCGCCATACATATCCAAACGGTTCACTTTTAGTCCAGAAACCGCCAGCTGATTGATACGAAAACGTAGCGAGATCGGCGGCGTTTCAACTGCTGCCGTTCCAGAAACGGAAACCTCGAAAGAATATGCTTTAAAACTCACAGAATTACCTAAGGCGTTTACCAATACAGTGCCGGTTTGTAATTTCAGATCGCGAATTTCAGATCGTCATGTTTTCACATAGAACGTTAACGTTTATACAAACTGTGTTAAGCTTCAAAAAATAAGCCAAAGGAAGAATTTTTGAAAACTGTTCGCAAAAAATCTTTTTCCAGGCAACTAAAGAATTTCAGCAAAGAGACAACGCAACTAAAACGACATTTCGAAACAACTTAACCAGATCTGGAAGTTGAAGGAATTTACAACAAATTATCCCATTAAGTGGATGAATGATGTACAGCTCGACATTACGAGCCCCATATTGCTATTCTTTGGGTTAACAAGAACAACAAAGCTCTTAAGGCAAAAGAAGGACTCTTTACCAGAGCCAACTACGCTTTGCGTAACAGCAAGATAAATATTATGGAGTCATCGCGACCATGAAAAGTTCATTGACAAAATGGCATGAAAAGAATATTACGTCGATTTTTTCAACGTAGTCTGAAGGAATCATTCTATGCGACTGCTTAAATCCTGATGAAATCATACAGTGAAGAAAATCCGCGAGAAAATCCACAAAATATCGAGAGCTATAAAACTAATCACCGGAATTGATCAACTCAAAGTGACAAAATTTCTCATCACAATTCCTGAAGACGTACTGAATGACCGAAAACTGTACAAATTGAAAAAACTGAACGCGAAATTTCACTTCACCCAACACGTTTTTCCACAAATGAACACCGTCTTCTCATAAGTTTCCACAATATCGTAGAATAAATATGTAGATACAACTGCTTTTTATTTCAAAAAAGAAAAGTTCGCCATTCGCCGATATATCTTTAAATTTGAAACCTGGAAACTTACAGAACTTTTGCGACTAACTTATGACTAACTAACTTTCGAAGGCGAAACCGCCGAAATGTCAGCTATTTGTATTCTAATAAATTCTATATTAACAACCTCGTGTCTGCTTATTGAAGAAAAACATTGAATTAACTTATCACGTTTTAACTAGTGAAGTTCACCAATGGTCGATTGAGGTGATTCCTTAAAGTGTGCGAAACTTACGGTGCCCTTGATGTTTGGTGGTTTGCCGAGTTCTATTTTCCCAACTGTCCACTGCAACAGGTGTGAAGACGGATCGAATGTGTATTTTCCTTGCGAAGGGATTAAGTTGCAGTTAAGAACAGCTTTTGGCATTGACATCTCCACAACAACGTCTTCCAGCTGGAAACAGAAAAGTAAATATTACATATGTGTCTGGAGCTCACAGAACATCAAATAAAAGGCTAAACTTGCACCAGTGCTAACCCAAAGGTTTCATGAAGATGTGAGCAGATGAACTTTTAAGCAACGTGAAAATGAACAGGAAATTTAAGAGTAACCAATTAATAACAAAAGTTCGCCTCGGATTAAAAACACGCAGAATCTCAAGTTATGCATAACTAAACTATAAGATAAAGCGATGGGTCAAAAAAAAGTAACCAAATACACTTACAATCTTTCCCATACTCTGTTTAGGCCCCACGGTGATTTCTAATCGACTGACTGCACCTCCTTTCAAAACAATAGAATGTCGGACATAAATTGGAATGGCGACCATGCTGAATACAGAGATACAGCAATAACTTCTCAAAGAAAATTTTTGGAAACTAAAAGAGGAACTCCGGAAAGATTTCGAACCCACTTTTGAGTAGCGATGTGATAAGACAACAATCGAAAGTTACCATCTGGAGGAACAAATGATAGCACGCGTTCGTTCTGAACCAAAGAGATTAAGAATCAATGAAATCGAAAAGAAATAAGACGTGAAAAGAAACATACCTCCCATCGTTTAAACCGTACACATGGATGGAATGAAACATCATCAAGAAGTCTGGGATTAACCAGTGTCATTGTAAGATCTGGCATTCCAGATAACTTGCAGCAAACATCAACCTTTAAATAGACCAACAAGGGTCTACGTAATCTTTTCGACAAAAAAAAAAGGAAAGAACACGTTAAGTTCTGAATTCTGTGGTATAATATCTATAGCACGTAAAAGTCTCAATTAAAAAACCTACATAGCCTTGAATTTCAGCAAAAACTGTGGATCCTTGACGGTCAATGATAGCGTCTATTTCCTCGATAACGTCAAAATATGCTTCGTTATTTGTATATTTTACTCCTTGTCGGCGCCAAGGTATATTAGATAACTGTCCTGTCGGCAATGTTTCAGAATGATTAGTACGACCAGTTACCTAAGGTGAACATTTTAAGTAAAAATAAACAAGATCTGCACAACATTTGTGTTAATATATCGGGAAGGTTAGTAAGGGTCGAACCAAAGGTAGATGAGTCGAATATTTCAACCCGGATGCTCAGCTGTAGCAAACATGACAGAAACTGCCTCCACCATAGCAGAAACCTAGTTAGCAGAGACAGACATCTTTCTATCCACAAATATCGGCAACATTTTGCGTTAATCATATGGTGAGCACTGCCTCCTCCAGTTTAAAAACCAGCTCATGCGAAAGAAAAATCAGCAACTCGTACAGTGGCTATCATATTACATAATATCAAGTGACAAGAATCCTATAACGATATGATCCACATCCGGATGAAATAATGTCATAGTATAATACTTAGTACCTACATCACTCACTGCCTCATCTGTGCGAAGAAATAATTTAACCACAAAGTGGATGTCCTTTCAGGGCATTGGACAAGACCTCATTAAACAAGCATTCCAAGAACAACCTTACCCACGTTCATAACCCTACTGTTGCAAATCTCCAAAACAGCCAAATACGAATTAGTTCTCAAAAATAGGATCGGATCACAAAATTTCAAAAGGTTTTCAAGAGTAAGATTGACTAGCTGGTTGATACAGTTGCAGCACACACTACTGGCACCTTAGGTAATACAGTGTTACGTTACGAATGTTGACAATGGAAAACAAAATTACATCATCTTCAACCACGATAAAAAAAACTCCTAAAAAGACACTTCCACTTCAACTTCTCTACGTTCCATAATTAGCGCAGATTACAATGAGTGGTGGGGACGCGTGTAAAGCAGCGGTAAGAGGTGCCATGCAATACACATGGCTTCAATAACGAGCCCCAGACACAGCAAGCCTTTCGTCGCTGCGAGGTCGGTAAATTGATACCAGATCTGTCTGGGAGGATAGCAGCACTTACTCTATATATCAGATGCATTCAATCCTCTTTAACGATGCCTAATGAATCCGAATGCATGGCGCATCCCTCAGGGTTTGATCAACGTCTAGAGCTTTAACTTTTATCGTTTATCGTAATGTTTCACCATCCAAAAAAAAAGATACTTTATTCTCCTTCAATTCCTAGTTGTGGTGAAAAGCAAAGATAACGTAAAAACGAAGGCAATAGAATATCATAAATAACTTTGACCTGGAAGCTACGAACTATACGCAATTCACGAAAGGTGGATAACAATATACTTCCTAAAAGATAAGGTGATGGGATCCATACAGAGCATCAGTACTCACTCTATCAAAGCAATATCGCCGAAAGGCTCTTAGTAACTACCGCCTAGCTTACAACGCATAGCTTGTGCTGAAGCTTCACGCAAACTATCATATATCACTCATAAACAACGTTTTCGATAGAACCTAACCTATTTACCAAGCAGGACTCCAACAGCGAATTTGTTCCGTAAATTAACTGCAAATAGTAGCTTTCGTGGAGCTTATCTTAATCACTGATTATCTCTGACATTTACGAATTCTAGCCGATCTCTACCATACTCCAAATCGAGCAACACTTCCACCGGTCCACACAATCCTGATAAACAAAAAGCTTTCGCCGTTAATCTATCCCTGAGGAATGAGCCATGCATTCAACTTCACCATGCATCGTTTAGAGGTGACTGAATGCATATCTGGCCTTTACAATAACTTTCAGTGACCTACCGAATCGATCCCACATGTAGTGCAAAGCACCTCCGACCATTGCGCTACATGCATCGTCCAACAATCCTGATTACCGTCACCTTTTGTCCCGCTGATCATCGAGCGACTCGAGCGGACGCCAGTAAGTCTTCCATTATTCTCTGTCACGTACAAGATTAGTCCAATGGGTTCTGCTCGTTCTAGCGACTTGTTGAGCAACATACCTTTCTTCGAAGCTTCTCGTGAAAAACTCCCACCTTCGGGTCGGCGCTCTTCCTGCAGCACGTTTGACATTCAGAGAAATCCAGTTGCTAACGGCTTTTGTACATCGCTTGTCTTTCATATGCATTTCGGACCCGACCCATCTCATCTTCGACAGTTTAGCGCATGGAATAGCATCTTTGATTTTTGACCGTTGATGCAGGTCGGAGCTTCGGATCCCTTCCCTTACTTGAGCAACACGGAATGCTCGTTGCAACGTCCCTTCGACTGCGCATTCAGTAACGCTGAGTGATTTGTCATCCTGCTTACGCAGCGACCAGGTTTCTGACGTTGACGCAGGAAGTATCGTTGAGTCGAAAAGGTGGGCACGGAGTCGGGTGATCTTTGTTCACCTCACTACATCCTTGGTGCTCTTGAAAGCTCCCCAAGTAGCTCATTTACTGCTGATCAACTCAGGAGCTTAGTCGAGTCAGGAGTCGTCCATCATGTTGATTCCCTGACCCAGATAAGTGTAACAGGAGCATTCAAAGATATTTATTCCGTTGAGAGTGAATGGGGCATACATAACCAATCCATTTCTCACGAACGTCGTTCTGGTGAGATTAATAGAGCACTAGTATTTCCAAAGGGTTTATCAAAGTCAGCAAGCATTCGTTCCACTTCGCTAATGTATAGTGTTACAAGGACGGCGTCATCAGCAAAACGAAGATGGTGTTATTGGCGACCATCGATTTTCAATCCAATTTTGTCCCATTCCCATGTTCGCATGACGTGAATGATTTTCTCCATATCCTTCATCAATATTCCTCCCTTCAGAGTTATTCGTATGTGCACCGCAACAGACAAGGAAGCATTCAAATTGGCAAGAAACTCTTATCAAACTTTGTCGAATATGTATTCATACTTTTGAGATGTCTCACTAGGATACAGATGATGTTTCAAGAAGCCAAAGCACAGGAAAAAAGAACCATAAAAATAAAACAAGGGTTGGTTTAGGGAAATCCACGCAACAGTGGAAGAGCAAGCTCTCGAGCAAGGAGGCTTGCTGATTAAGAACTCCTCCTAAGAATATTCAGCGGACTATAAAAGCGAAGTGCATTCGCATTTCATCGGAAGTCACACGGCCGAGTTATATACATACAACACCATAATAGGAGTCACGACAGATGTACCAGGAAAAACTGCGTTGACTCAACGGACATACATTTCCCAACGAATGCTTCCTTTACAGTGATCTAATCTGACTCGACATGAGACAAGGGTCGCTCAAATACAGATGCAGCCATACTCTGCATCTCTATGGAAGGTGGTCGCCAATGAACGAAAATCATCGAAATTCTGCTGGGAATCATACGATATTAGTTATGTAAGCCTAAACTGTCAAACGCTCAAAATCTGCTCTCCTCATAAATTTCCAAAGAAAAATGGAAGGTTTAGGTAAAATCTTCGAACTACTAATTCAATCGCATTTGTTCTCCTAAACGCAGCTATTTGTAAACTTGACCGAAACTTGAGTTTTCCTGATTTCTTAGAAAATACGTCGTAAATTAAAAACAATTTGTGGTGGACGACAAAAAGATTGTATCAGAGAAAATACTGCCTCACTGACTCACTTGGTTAGCTATGTTCCTAAGAAAATTCGGAGGTTTGATGAGATCTTGAAGAATGTTCAATTCCGTAACTAACGGATATCCATTGTCGAGCATTTCATCCAATAACTAGAATAAGTATAGTAACCACAGAAGTTGACTGGAGAAAAAAGACTAAATGTTATGTTTAGAAAAGACCGAGCCTCGAACACCATCACACAGTTCTCTCTTACTGATGCTTCAGAACACTCATCGAAATATTGAGAAAGAGTGTGGACAACACGATGTAGAAATTCGATAACCATAAGAGGAGGAACTAAAGAAGAATATAAAAGATTATGTTCGATTATATTCCCAGAGTAATACCTTCAGTTGTTGTTACAGCTAGAAAATAAATCTGATTATGGTGAACACTGATAACATAATGATGAGGTGTTGATAGCACTGGTGACACATCCTCAGCTGAGGCAGCCTAGAATACATTGACGAAAATTGAAATAGAGCTTCAACAGCATGTTACAGCTACATCAAATCTTCTACTTACTTGGATACTTGGATGGCCGGTGTTCACCGACTGTGCCGGCCTCAGAGGGACTTCCACTTTTTTGGAGTTTTGCTAGTTTAGCCATTGTGGTTCCTTCGAGTTCCGAGGTCGACATAGTCAAAGCCTGCCCTAAGTCGTCACCACCACAAGCAGTCGCTGCCTTTATGGATCAGAGACGGTGGTGGATTCTGGTATCAGTTTACTCTCAGATGGGCTTCCTGTAAGAAATGCCGGACTCCTTCTCAGCTTGGGACACCCTGTCAGGCGGATGAATCCCCCCGCTCTACATCACAAACCGATACCCAGGAACACGTCCCATCCACGGTGAGCCAGTAAACCATTAGGAGGAGATCAGACCTCTAGTGTTTAGAACTATGGCAACACCAACGAAAAAAAAACGCCAGTTAACTTTTTATTTTGCTGCCTATTACTACTTTTCACGATAGGAAAAGACGTAAAATACAACCACTGTGATCCTGAGAAATTCGCAAAACTTGGACACCAGGCTAGATCGTACCCGGGATTTCTCGCTCCAGGGGCTCACATTTTACACACTGCACCAGTGAGAGTCCTTGCTTTGCATTTCTGTAAGTCAAAAATAGCAAAGAGCGAGAGACTTTAAATAACTCCTACTACTGGCTTAATATATCTAGTGATTTCACGTTTTTCAATTCAACTGTTTGAGTACTTCAGCATCTTTTACTACTTTAGCTATGTGGTCAGCACTACCCAACGATTTGCAGCCTCAACGTGGCTGGCAGGTGTTCCAGGTTGTCGGGTTGCGATGTACATCAGGTATTCATCTACCCAGTATGGTCTCCCAAACTGAGGAGTTCCACGTTTCCATGAGGAAGCGTTGCTAAGAGTAAACCAATGCAAGGATCCACCACAGTCTTGATATCAAACTAGCCGCATGGTGGCAAATCACTCTCTGATCCACAAAGGCGGCGACAGCCTGTGGTGGTGACGACTTGGGGTAAACTTTGGCTAAGCTTACCTCGGGACTCCAAGGAACCACAATGGTTAAACCAGCAAATCTCCGAATAATGGTGATTATGCTGGGCTCACATAACCAGTGAAGACGGGTCATCCAAGCATCCAAGTAAATAGGTATACAGGGCTAATGAGGGCTAGAGCTTTAGACTTCTATAATTTTTCTTCAAGTGTTCGACTATATGAGTATCTTTTATTACTTTAGTTAAGTGGTTGGCACACTGAAAGACTGTTAGTTAGGTAAAGTATATGGCTTTTCGGGCGCAGCAAGTCCTACTAGGTTCCTAACAAGAAATGGACAAACTCCAAGAGAAAGAAGGCACTTGAAAAACATACTTTTTTCTGAGCATCAAAGAAATAATCACATATAGAACGATGAATGACAGCCTTCCAATGCTTCTCGAATATTACATCACTGAAGAAAAGACATCCATGATCACTGCTAAATCCTTAAGAAATTAACGGAATGGGAAGCAGAACATGACTTACCCAGAAGTGTTAACGATGAATAAGCTGTTCAGCATGAAAACAACGAATGAAGCCCTCTAAAAACGAAAGTTTTTACGAACATAAAGGAAAGACGAATCGGCAATTCAACAAGGGTGATAAGTACACAAATAATGGGAAATATTAGCAACTATTATTAGGGACCACTATATTTGCAGAAATTTTAGCATGAAGAAATCTTTCTGAACGCTTTACCAGAATGAAACCAAGGTTACAAATCAATTCTGCCGTATTTCTTAAATCAATACAAGGAGATAGTTTAGGTGCTCTAGTCGAGTTCAATGGACCACGGTAGGCCACCTTCAATTCAGGCTGGTTCGAGCTCACGCCTTTCTTGCGAGGTTAGTGATGTTTACTTTCGTAAATTGTTGTACTTATACTTTGTTATGTGGTTACGAAGGTGAATACTTAAGTCAACTTCTCCATGGAAGTCTGGACATTTTCAGAATGACGTCTGCAATTCGCCTTGCAGGTTCACATCTTCGTGAGTTACGTATCCATCTTTGTCAAAAAAGTTCGGCTTCTGGTTAGTTGTTAATCCAGTATTTGGCCTTGTTTATGTCTTAAGTCTTTAGAATGCCATTATTTGCCAACCGTTCCTAACAGATCCCTCCTACGTTTTAAACATAGGTATACGTTTGTACACATTCCACTGAGGTGAAGTTGGAGTGGTAATGGATAGTAACTGTATTTTGGGAAACGATGTTATCTTAGGTGAATTCCTTCCTGGGTTTGCTTGTGTTACTATTTGGCTCAAGTCCTTTATTTAGCGGGAGTGCGTGACTTCATTGAGAACGACTATGTGGATTTGAAGAAGGCAAACCCTCACTTTCCTATCCTCATCCGCGAATGTTCTGGGATCGTCCCACGTGTATTTGCAAGGTGTGCATATTGATTGTTGTTTAGATGATCTAGACTGGAAATAGAGCTCGTATTAGTGTTGAAATGAATCAGATGCAGTGCACTTCACAGTTGAATGGGTTCTTTTCATGTTTAGCTACATGAAACGTTCGCTGTCTACATGCTTTCTACCTAGTTTAACTTACAGAAATAGCTCCACATTATTCTTGCACGTTTCATCTTTCATTAGACATACGTGAAATATTCTAGGTATGAACATGGAGTCGAACGTTGTGTTGTTCTCGAGGATTTGCCAAGAGAGAAAGTCGCATCAGCAATTAAAGAGCTGTCAGCTCTCAGCTAGTCATCTGACAATATAACTCAGTATAATAAACAGATTGTAACTGCGTCGTGTGAGCATATATGAAGCGATATAGTCGCTTACGTATACTGTTCTATTGGATCTTCCATAGATTGGGAAGCTTCATATCTTCGTCATTAGTTTATAATCGTTGATTGTATCAACTAAAAGTGTCATAAATTCTGTTATTTCTAGTTCTGTACATATTGTAATAGTTTGCGTTGTCAGATCCCCACTTCCCTCTCCAAATAGAGCTCATCTGTCTTACATATCTCTGCAAGCTTAAGCAATCCTTTATGCCTTTGCGTTCTGCATGATGTTTCACACAATTAGAAATCATATGAAAGCGAGCTCTACCTAGTTCTGCTTTTTCATGATCTACGTCTTGATTTCAATGCATATCAAAAGTGCGCCATCCCATGGGTCAGCCACGCGAAAATGGGTCGTGGAAGGGTTGAACCTTTCCCATTGTAAAAACTATTTGGTGCATACGGCCAAACCTGCTTCTCTTTCACTATTTTGACATAGAGACATTACTTTTTGGTTACATGGCGCCATACAAAACTATGCGGAAGGCTAATGAAATCATGGTTAGGTAACTAACGAGTCATTTTTCATCACACATAAGAGTTAGGTGGTACATAAGAAGTGTCCAAGGACACGGGAAAATAGAAGAATATAGCGTATATATAGGAGTTAGTGAGACCCAGAAAAAAATGTGAGGGACCCAAGCAATAGAACGATAATCTCGAGAAACCGGTTTGCTGTGCCTCTTGCGTGTACATACGGACAGTACATCTTCAATGCGTATCTCAATTGCGCTGTAATGACAAGCGGTTGCGGAAAGGGCTAGAGCTCTACCGAGTGGGTAATTGTGTGCTCCAATCTAACTGTTCTTTAAAGGGAGCATTGGCGCGTCATTGTGATGTTTAAACGGGTCACATTCACTGATCATTGCGGTCACCGCTGCGATCGATAACTGTTGAAGTCTGTTTCATCAGTTAAATTTGACGAAGTGATTGTCATGTTTTTCTTCTTCATCGCCTTGCTTTGTATATATTTATGCCATTTAAGTTTGTTCTCTCAACTTTTCGCTCAGTGATGCATTGTTAAGTTTATGGTGATCCTATGGTTTCTGTTTGCTGCTTCAAATTTTATTTATGAGAAGAAAGAACTGGTTAATGTGAGCTGGAAACACATTCATTTACATCGGAGGTGGTCCGTTCTCGAAAATGACTCATCACTTTCTCTTAGGCCACCTGTCATCGGTCGTTATCGTCATTTGACTTGCACATCGGTGTTTCGTTTTAATCTGTATTCTGCTAAACCACGCAGACTTAAGAATTGTTACTATAAAATCTCATGTATGACCTAATATGTGGACCGATTGCATTTCGGAAGAAATCGTTCTCAGTGTTAGTGATCGGAGCGTTCAGAGCCTTGTTAGTAATCTATGCGTGACTTGTATTCTACGGTTAGTTGTTTTTCGTTCGATGAAGCATGTGGTTCCAGAGTAGATTCCATTGGGAACTTGCTATGATATGCAATTGATTTTAAGTCTCTGGTTAGGTAAGTTGTACTTTATAATATCGATCGGTACCTGTATGGTAAAGTTTGGTCATCCCAAACTTTATTCTTCTCTGTATGGTTCTTCTATGCACCTATTTATTCCTGTTACCGATGTAGGTGTGCTATATCTGGCTTTTGAGGTGCATGTCATTTTAATGGGATTTTTTATCCGTTACGCCAAATGTGACCGAATGATCGCTTTTCACCTCGTTAAGCCCAACAAAGGTTGTTACTGTTATTACCTTCGCATTCTTTTAATGTTGTTTCATCGAAAAGATGTGTCTTCATCACGAATAAGGAACTGCAGAATAAACCAGGAAGCCAAAATTTCCACAGGTCGCCCTAAGGAGTGTTTATAGGGTGCAGTGTGGATGTCGATTTCCTGTATTATTTAACGTTTTGCAGTCGTTCTCTAACCATTATAGTCCTCACCGAATGCGTTGGGTGCAATCCAAGTATCGTGTGATAGGAGCTTGTAATGTTTCGCTGTGGTTGTGTTATTTTCTTCGGCGTTTGCGTTCATCATTGTTGCAACACTTAACCTCTAATGGGCAGTTCAGCTTTGTTATGTCTACGTCTGTGAAACATCGCGAGTTCATTGGTGAGCCAATGGCTGAGAAGGAAGTGACTGCAGTCGCTGGCATTGGTCCCACGTATGGAGCGAAACTTGCTGAAAATGGATTTGATAAGGTAGCGATGTTATTCTCTTTTCATAATCGCGCTCTAATTCTCTATAATATCTAAGTATTTCAGGCATACATTCTTTTTGGGCAATTTCTACTTCTCAAGAAAGACGAAGATTTATTCACCGAATGGTTAAAGGTAACAGTTTAAAAAGTTGTGTAAATATCACCGAAAACACGCTCATGGCTTTTTGCGAGTATTCTTTTCCTATATGTGGTAGATTTGCGAGTTAATTGTCTGGTCTAATCGTGTCTCCACGGTTCTCCCTCATATGAGACCTCGAGCTGTTTAGTGAAGAGGCTACATGGTGTGTCTCCTAGGTGGCATATAGATTGCTAATAGAGGACAAAAGGCGACCTTTACTTCCTTGAGACGGAGGTGAATTTAGCGGATGTATTCCCTGTTTCTGCTGAGCAAATTTTTCTTATATAGTCTGTATTTACAAAGGCGTATTAGTGCATGCATGCGTGGGTGTGTTCTCGTTTATGGGTATTCTACTCTGCCAGTCATTTCGGAAGAAAGCCTGCGATCAAGTAATAGGAAAGTATGTAGAAGGGGGTTAGGAGTCGCCTCCAAAAATAAGGTCCACGTCTACTTTGGGGGAGACTGGCGAGCCATCGGTGAGTATACCCAGCCCCCCGTTCAGAGCTCAGCATGCTATAAGTGGGTATCAAGAAGCTAAACACAGTAACTTAGGTGGGCCTCACCTCCTGACCACGAAAGAGCTCCCGATTTGCCAGCGTTGGGTGGAACGAGTACGAGAAGGCTGCTTAAATCTCAGGGCCATTCTGAGCTGGCCAAATCGTAAAAGACTAATGTGCCGATTTGCTCCTACAATGCACGCACACTTGCATCTAAATCTTCGATAGAAGACTTGATGGTACAAGCCAGAAGGATAGGTACGACTTAACCGGATTTACCGAGACAAGGCGTCCCATGAAAATCCGACTACGACACCGGAGAAGAACTGTTCCTCGGGACATTCAGCAGTAGAGGAGTCGGCAGCGTTGGCGTTCTCGTCAGCACGAGTTTGGCCATGAACATGGTTTCATTCGAACAACTAACAACCGGATTCGGACGTTTTCGATTAAAAAGACGTGGATCAATACCGCATTTGACAATCTTCGTCATTTACGCACCGACATCTAAATATGTCGAGAAAAAAGTTGAAGCGTTCTATATAGACATGGAGAAGTACAGGGAAAACCATGTATTCTTCAAAGTCATCATTACAGATGTTGACGCTACGATTAGACCCAGAAGAACGTCACATTGCAATCCACAGATTGGAATGGAACGTGCATGGTGAGCTGTCTGAGTTTATCATAACGACCATGACCATTCATGGTAACTCTCAATTCCATTAGCGCCCCACCCACAGCGCTGGACTTGGGAGTCTACCAAAGGAGAGTGCTATAACGAAATAGACCACATCATATTAAATCGAAGGTTTTGCCTAACCGTTATCGCTGTTGTCCCAAAATTCTACACTGGAATAAAACAGCACCTTCTTTATGCAAGATTTAATTTCGTGTGGAGTAGAGTCGCTGAGTTCAGAAAACGAAGTTCGGAAACCACCATAAACTGGAATTTCTTCACATCATTAGTTGTCTGTCGGGAAGATAGTGTTCTCCATAACATCCAAAAAAGAATTCGATTATCTCAAAAAACATCTTAATGGTAGCATTATGAAGACTGAGAGTTCGAAAGTCACCAAGAGACTTCTGTCTCCGGAAACACTCGAGCTAATACGCTACCGCGTAGTCGGACAAGCTGAAAGCAACCGAGAGCTCACATCCGAATTTGCAAAGCAATGCAGACAAGCGACAAAAAAGATGTTGAAAAGGGAAGAACACCAGTTATTTTTGAAGCTGCATAGGCTGGGAAAAGCACTAGCAAAGCCCACCAAATCATTGCCAATTGGAAAACCAAGATCATTGCACTGCGAAGTTCAAAAGAAACAGTTCTAGTGTCCAGAAAGACAATGGAGAAAGTCATTCACGAATACTATACTATTCAATCTTCAAAATAGTCTGCAATAGCCACGTACTCCTGACTTTTTTTGGAATAAGAGGGGATGGATATGTCGTACCACCAGTTCTCCACTCCAAATTCTCACATGCTATTTTTTCGATGAAAAATCGAACAGCGGGAAGTCCGGGCAGGATGAGATCTGAAAACTAGAAGAGCCTTTCGGCAGTCCTCGGTAACGGACTGACTTGGCTATTCACATCTTACCTGTCTGAATGCGTTCTCTACTCGATGGAAGACCAGCAATACCGTGCTATTGTTCATTAAGGATTACCTCTACGATATCGGCAACCATCACCCTGTCTACCTGCTATTTGTCGTCTACAAACTTCTCACTCAAGTCATCCTAAAGAGGGTTTACAGAACATTGGACAAAAGATGGTCATGTGAGCAAGCAGGGTTTCAAAAAGGATTTGCTACAGTGGACCATAGCAACACGATAACAAGGCTCACTGAATTATTGCTGGAGCACACAAGATCGCTTTATCTCACTTTCATCGATTTAGGAAAGGCTTCGGACTCAACTGAGATAGAAGCAGTAATGGAAGCCTTGTGTAGTCAGGGAATCCCTACTCGGTACATAAAGATACTTCTTGAGCTGTAGAAAAATTCCACAACCAAGATATCATCATTCTACAACGATATTAACATCGACGTCAAAAGAGACTTAGGTGATGCGATACCATCTCGCCAAAATTATTTTAGGCCACCCTCGAGAATGTCGTGCGAACATTGGAATGAGAAATATGGGAGTGGAAATCATTGGTCGGCAATTACATCATCTTCGCTTTGCTGCTGACATCGTTATTATAACGGCAAACATTAGCCAAGCGGAACGAATTGCCGGCTTTGATAAAGCCTGAGGAAAAGTTGATCTTCGGCTTATTCTTACAAAAACAATGTTTATGAGAAGTGGATAGGTTACATATGCCAAATTCACGCTCATCGGAATGAATGTTTCCGAATGCTCCTGCTTTGTCTGTGTAGGTCGTGAAATCATTACAATGACCGACTTAGTTCCGCATTTGAGCGGAAAAAAACGATCGGCTTGGGGAGTTTTCAAGAGGATCGGGGATTTAGTGAAGAGAACAAAGAGCACCCGGCTCCGTACCCACCTTTTCGGCTCAATGGTATTTGCTGCCTCAACGTATGCGTCACAAACTTGGTCGCTGCACAAGTAGGATGAAAGATCACTGTGTTATTGAGCGCGCGCTCGAAGGAACGATGCTAGGAGTATCCCGTTTCACACAAGAAAGAGATGGGATCCGAAGCTCCGACCTGCATCAACCATCAAAACTCAAACATTTCGTTCCCTACGCCAAATAGTCGACGATAAATTGAGCCGAACACGTAATGCGTATTAACGATAACCGATGGACGAGAACGATTACTGACTGGAATCCTCGGGATGTCAAACATGTTCTACGAAGACTACGAGCCCATTAGTGAGAGTTCTTCGCGTAGACTTTGAAAGAAGGATATTATGCTCGTCGAGTCTCTAGGGCGAGAGGAACCCACTGGGCTACTCTTGCATGCGACAAAGAAAAATGGAAGATTTACTGGCGACCGCCCGAGTCACTCAATGATCAAGGGGCGACAGGTGACATAGGTGAATTAGGACTACCCGCTAATAGGCCTAATCACGAACATCCTTTGGGACTTTATCTAGTTGTAGAAAGAAGTCTCCTAAAGGCTTTTTTCATTATGTAAACACTCATGTACAGTGTGTCGCCATTGTTTTGGATAACATGTGAGGTTGATCCTTATCTTGTGGAAATAAAACCGTTATGTTCATCATGTTCCATATTTCACTTTACAGCGCTATAATCTCGATGTTGTCTACTGATTACTTTACCTATATATGTTTACAAATTTCTGTTTAAAAGTTGAAATTAGTGGAACTGTCGTATCAATAAAATACAGATGAATAAGTGAAATGAATTTGGTTTTGAAGACTTTGTTTTTTCAACCCTTTAAAATTGTGTTCCATATTTTTTCTTCCGTAGTGGGGCACTAAAAGGTTTCATTGTTTCAATGCCTTTGATTGTCAGATTAGTCTGATAAGTATATAAGTGATTTCAGGATACTGCTGGAGTAAGTGCAAACCATGCGAAAAGTGCATACAACTGTCTGAATGCATGGGCGGAACAATATATTTGATTTTAAATAAGTTCATCTATGCTTTGCTCGAACATGGGCTTAATGTCTTGTGTTTAACATTTACATCCGAAGTTGTGTACTTTACGGTTCATTTTTGTACTATTGCTGTTAATGCTACTTCTTACTTTCATACTGTGAAGTTTCAGTTTATTACCGATGGAGTTGATGTTCACAGATTATAACATAAACTTTCTGCACAACTTTCATGCAATCTTTTTCGGCGTGTTTGTACCGCCTGATATGTCGTCGTTTTTGGTAAATGAGCACCTCACATAGTTGTATGAACCGATTTGCTTTAACGTCCTTTTAACAAGCCTTAGCCTTGTAAATATCTTCACTATTATTATTTCAGAGCAAGGACAATCTTAGTTTAGTCGGGTTTACTCGGAGCTGTACAGAATCATCATTGTTTGCTCGTTTGTTTATATCATTGGAAGAGAATGTCTCTTTTGCATCACTCCTGTATTTGTGTTATTTGTCGCGTTAGGGAGTTTATCAGTAGTTTCTATTGCATAGAGGAACTTGCCTAGTATGTCTTCTTCAGTTATCTTCATGAGTACTTCCGGCTATCGGAATGGATGGTTTGCTGTCCTTGTAACCCCGTAGGATCAGTCGCTGATAGCTCATGATCAGCACTCGTCATTAGGAGACGTGTTCGACGCCCAAGTACTTTAATCTTGGGATTTGCTGCCGACTTCCTGATCTTTTATCGTTCAAATAACTTTGAATTTAGGATTCCTTATTTTAATTGCATAGTGCGGAATGCTGATGACATCGTCCTTTTGGTAATGTGTTGAATAACGCCAACTAAGTGTTCTTCCTTACCTAGCGTCCACATTGGCAAGATGTTTTATTTAAAGTAGAGGGAAGGCGTCGTGTTTTGTGCATGCTTTCCGTGATAGGTACGTGTAGCTGAAATGTTATAAAGTACTTATTTCGTCTGGCGTTAATAAGGCTTCAAAGGCGAATAAGTTTCTCGTGAACATCGTTTTCTTGAATTCCAACGGGAAACTAGTTTTCAGTGTGAGATGTCTAATACGTTAGGAATTCCTTCAGCTTGGCTGGGGTTTGTGGTGTAAGAACGTCTTCCTTGGCGAATCAAAGGTGAAGTTACAAGTAGCTGGCTGTTGGTTTCATATTATCCCATCCGTCTTCATTGATGACGTTCGTAAGATAGCTGCGAATATTTTTGACGACATAGTATTGCCTTGTCAGGATCCTCCACTTCCGGTGATGGTAATATTGTTGTAAAATGGTGTGATCATGGTAATTAAGTTATTACTTAACTCATGAGTGAGACAAGATCCTGGGATTTCAATTACTTCGAAACCGATTGAAGTCCCAAGTAAAGGACGTCCTACGGTGATTTGGGAAGTTCATCTCTTGTACTTCATGGCTTTCACTTGTTTCTCCGAAAAGAAGAACCATTCGCAAAGGAGGAGATAACCTAATCATACGTAGAAATTCGGCATAACAGCAGTGGAAAAAAATTAAGAAAGATTACAATGCGCAAGGTTAAATACGAGTCGATGGAGGTTTTTGGCTAAAAAGTTGCCTACTGGTGCAAAAATGTCTGGAGTGGGAAGCATAGGGGTGTTTGATTTCCAAAAGCTGGACAAAGCATGTTCTGATTATTTAGGATTTTTGAGTAATTTGTTTAGTTGTTTTGGCGCTGTGTAGGTGCTTACGCTGGAGCACCAGTCAAGCTGCCTCGGTTGTTCGACGAGCGGCTGTCAGATAATGAGTATAGAGACTACTTATTAGTTTTTGTGCTTTGGAGATCTTTGTAGAGTGTGTTATCAAATTCTCGTTTTTGTTTCTTTCAGGTCTGGGACCGCATCATTTGATCCGTCTTTACAATGTATTTGGAAGGAGTATGTCTTGTTGAAAACAAGCCTACTAATGGTATATTAGGTCCGGCATACATCTTCTCTTGTAAGGACTTGAAGGTGTTTTCAGTTCGCTTTGAAGGAAGGTTTGTTGTGGTATGCAGTTGATTCTGAAATACATTTTGATTGCTAATAGAGTAGTAAAGATGCTGTCGAGGTTCAAACTGTCTTTGATTTCGCATGAAAGAATTAAATTCCTATCAATGCTGTAAGTGTTCGGTTCCTTTATCTCATGCATGTGAGAACTTAACCCCTCATTATTCAGTAAGCAGTTGATTCACCCATATCACTTGTACTTACTATGTGTTAATGAAAAGACGATGATAGAGATTTACTTGTTTGAAAGAAATTGTAGGGGGAATTCGGTGCAACGGGCTACTATAGATGGACAATGAGCGAGTGCACAGGAATCAGGCAGTTTATGCTGAGGAAAATTAGGCAGGTTGAACATCTGGATGCATCGTAACGCCGACCGATGAACGAGAGTTCTTATCGTGCGGGTTCTTCTGGATGTCAAAGGAGCAAACTAGAACAAAACATAGTATCAATAATGAAACTGAAGTGCACGAAAGAAGCTGAAGGATGGCAATGAGTTAAAATTTGAATTCTAGTGTGTTATAATAGCACCTATGTTGTATTCTATTGCTTCTTTCTGTTGTAGCTATACAGTGCGCCTGAGGTGCTGTGGTCAAATATGCCCTTTAACATACACATTGTTCGGCCTTACGTGAGACCATTCCAGCATTAATTCATTTCTTAGTGAGGAAACTAGAGAAAGACAGAACTTGTTGGCGAAAAGCTCCTAATCCAGCGAGACCTGGTATTACCTGTGATGAAGATATGCGAGTGCTCTAGTAGATGCCAGATCCCAGGAGTTAGTCAGCTCGACAAGCATTCAACGATATTTATTAAAAAGACGAAGTCCTCAGGTGGCAGGCGAGTTCACGTGAAAATCAGAGGAGAGTGGAGTGAGGAATGGCGAAGACGACTGCGTGGCAAAGAATCGAATGAGGGAAGTGCTGCGACCCGCACAATATGTGGATTTAGGTGATGAAAGTAATCCCATTACCGGTCAGCACTAGTATTATATACTAATATTATAAATTTGTCCCTGTCCCATGGCAAAGCTACCCGAAGTGTTCACCTAAGAGGTTTCTCATTTGAAACCCTTCATTTTGTTGTTTCTGTCGGAGAGGAACCTACGGATAATTATCTGAGAATTGCTATGAAAGCGCCGTATTTCACGGGTGCCTTGTGATGTTCTCCGGCAGTAAACGCAGGTCTTATTTCGTTGAGCCGACAATTCCTCATACAAGGGAGGTCTGTAGAGAAGGATAAGGTTAGCAAATGACAGAGGTGTTGAAGAGACTTTCTTGACTTGGACTATTTACATCTTTCAAGGTTGTGTTTACGTAAATTACTATTTCAATGGTTTTTTAGCATTAATATCGGGACATGGATCAGTGCTCGGCTTGATAAAGCGGACTGTGATGTGTATGAAGTAGTAGAATATGCTATTTTGGAAGAATCGCCTGCCAGTTTTGAGTTCGCGAACGTTCAAGATTCTCTCTTGGTGAGTTCTGTCTCTTGTTTTTTTTTTCATTAATTTGCTTTCCTCTGACGTTAGGTGATAAGCACATTCCTAAAATACCAAATATTGATTTAAGTGGAATGCAACGGAACTATTTCAAGATCCTTGGTCGAAAAAAAATGAGTAGTAAAAGTGTGATTGTAGCTGCGTTGAAAATTCTTGGTTAATTACTTCATAGTGTTCTACTACGGGAAAATGAATGGATTTTTTTAGGAACAATGTTTTAATTACTGACCAATGTTGTGCTGTCTCTTATTGAATTTCCTTTCTGTAACGATGTGCTTATCATTGTTTGAAAAATTTATGTTGTCTTCTCTTACAAACCTCTATTTTTTCGTTTCAATTCGGACGTCGTTTTCCACAATTGAAGAAAAAACGAACCCGAATTTCACCAAGTCCGTAGCGATGCACATTTTTTGTACTGTCCGTGTGGAACAACTCCTAATCTTCCTCCGTAAGCAGTATGAATTATATATTGATGATTTCGGCCAATGTTCTCTCCCGCCTCGCAGGGCAAACCCGTTGAGCAGATGTCGATTTCAGGACCGGATATCTTCTCCATGTTAACGAAATACAAATTGGTTGTAATAACCTTTCTTCAGCAGTATTAGTGGCTTTCATTTATCACGGTTTCTCGATATTATTGCTCAAGGCAGTTACGTTTATGTGTTCTTTTGCTGGAATTACCCACTCTGCATCGAAAATTAACCACATTAATTCTTTATAGATATTGTTTTTTTTTTTTGAGATTTAGTCGAGCACAAATTTCTCCACAGGTATTGTCAAAATCGTCAAGCATTCGTTCCTCCTGGATAATTCCTCCGACGAAGAATTTTCATATACTGAGTAGGGACTCTCTGACTTTCCAAGGTTTCCATGACTGCTTTTGAGTTAAGCGCATTCCTTAAATCGATGAAAGTGAGGCAGAACGACCTTTCTGTACTCTAGCAATACTTCGGTGAGTCTTCCTATCGGGTGGACGTGGTCTGTCGTACTGAATCCTTTTCGAAACCCTGCTTGCTCACATGGCTATCCTTCGTCCATTGTTCTGTCAGAGTTCTGTTTAGAGCGATTCAAGTGATAAGCTTATAGACAACAAACAGCAAGCAGATTGGGAAATAGTTCCCGATGTCGTAGAGGTGACCTTTCTTGAATAGTAGCACGGTCCTGCTGGTCTTCTAATGAGTAAGGACCTTGCATTCAGACAGGTAACGTGTGAAGAGCTGAGCAACTGTGTTTATGAGGACTGGCGGAAGGTTCTTCAGATGTTCAGATCTTATCCTGTCCAGACCTGTTGCTGTTCGATTTTCCACCGACGAAATGGCATGTCGGATTTCGGAAGGGGGAACCGGTGGTACGACATATCCATCCACCTTTATTTCGTATGAAAGAGGAAGACACGGCCATTGGAGAGGTCCTAATAGCGGCCATGAATGATTTTATCCATTGCCTTTCTGGAAACTGCAACTATTCGGTCTGGGCGTCGGAGTGCAATCATCTTGGTCTTGTAATTGACGAAGCTTCGGTGGGCTGCGCAAATGGTTTCCCATCCTCTGCAACTTCGACCGTTATTACTGCTCTTCTCTCTTTAAGATCTTTTATCGCCTGTCTGCATTGTTTTGCAAGTTTGGACGTTAGTTCGCGGTTGCCTGCAGCGCTTGCGATTCCACGTTGGCGTACCACTTCCAGTGTTCCTGGAGACAGAGGTGCCTTGGTGACTTCCGAGATTTTAACTTCCATAACGTTATCGTGAAGATGTTGAATGAGCCGATCGTATTCATCGTTTATGTTATCGAGAATGCCATCTTCCCAACAGCCGACTAATGAATTACGAGTTTATTGTGATTTTCGAACCTCGTTTTTGAACTTAGCAGCTTTTCCTTCTTTCCGTGAGAGATTAAATCTTGCGCGAAGTGGGCCATTAACTGATCGCGTGAAAAATTATGACAGCAGTGACATCAGTTAGGGAAACCGCTGCGATTTACCACTATTTGGCCGTTATGGTTCTCTCCATCGGAAAACTCTCACATTCAGCGTTGAGAGTGGGGATTCTGGAATTGCGAGTTACAATGAATGCTCTTGGTTGTTATGATAAACTCTGCCTTTCACCCTGTTCGTTCCATGCTAACCCGTGGGTGCCAAGTTGGCGTTCATCACACGTTCATTTGGGTCCAATCTTGGCCTTAAAAAATGTGCGATCTTCCATGTGGAGCTCCGGGTCCATATAGGAGTCTTCGTCTTCGTCATAGCTTGATTTTGGTGCGTAGATGACGAATGGTGTCAAAGCCGGTGTTGATTCACATTTTTTGAACTGTAAACGTCGGATTCTTACTGTTAGTTCGAATGAATCGTTACTCGTGTCCAAGCTGGTGTTTACGAGAACGGCGACATCGCCGACTCTATTGTCACCTGTTCCAAGGAACAATTCTTCTTCGCTCTCGTAGACGGCGTTTAATGTTCGGCGTTTTCTCGTCTCTGCCAGTCCGATGACATCGCTCATCATCCATCTTGTCTTCACGATCAAGTCCTCTATCGTGCACTTAGATTCAAGTGGCCGTGTATTATATGTACAGGTCATTTAGGCTTTAGACCTTGCGTTTTGTATTTCATAGAATGACCCTAATATTCTGGTAGCCTCTCCGTATTCGTCCTATCCATCGTTGCCGTATCGGAGACATGAAGCTCGTTTGTTTTACCATGTTCAACTGTTTGACACCTGCACATAACTTCCTATGCTCTGAACGTGGTGGCTGTATATACTCACTCACAGTAGACGCAGGGTGGCGATTCCTAACGGTCTCCCATATGATTGCCTGTTACATGATTGCAGGGTGTTATCAGTATTGACTCGTAGAATACAAGACACAAACAAAAACACACCCGCGAATGCATGGATAGGTGTGTAAATACAAAACGTATGTGCTAAATTGGCGTAGCAGAAACAGGGAGCCCTTCCGTTGGATTTATCTGTGTCACACGAAAGCAGAGGTCGCTTTTGCTCCGTGATCAACCCCCTATCTGCCACATGAAATGCTGTACATTGCCTCGCGACTGTAACTGACGTGAGACCTCTACGAGGGAGATTTGTGGTGAGCCAGATTATCGGCTACAAATTGCTGTACTCAGCTTCTAATGAAATTCTTTTAACGCATTCACGACTAACCTTCTAAACTTTAAACGCTCATATCTAAGCTTGTACTTTTTTCACTTTTTTGCCTAAAGGTTTGTACTTTGAACACAAAAGAAATTGAACAAGCAAGGTCTCGTCCAACAAAACTGAGTGATGTTCTCGAGTGCATCGCTGCTTTTTGATGCGGTTGCATTGGAAAAGTTGAAGACCAAGTTTCATTTTCAATTTTCTAGGATTTTTTCTATTTTCATTTTATTGCATATATTTTAACGACGCACTTCATTTTTTTTCTTACTTTAAACGTATTTAAAGTAGAAGTAATCATATGAAAACTCCTTTTACACTTAGAACGTTAGGACAAATTCTCTTACAAATAGGGAAATGATCGTCAATTTTTCAGAAAAATACCTTTGTCATAAATGTACTGAATAAAAATTCTCTCAATCTTTGGGAAAAAAAAACATTTATCTATTCAATCATGATACGTGCAACAATAGGCATCTGTATTCTTTTTAGTCACTATATCGCATATTGACGAGGCTCACAAATTGTGCAACAAAACCAAACGTAATTTCTTTCGACAGGACAAACATTGTCACGTAATACGCCTGTAGTACTGTCGACAGCTACTGCGTTAGGGTTGAAATAATCCTCCGAGAAAGTCACTTGTCACATTCTCTTCTTTTAAAATTCTTTTCTTACTCTTGTCTCCTTTATTTTTATTTATCGACTTTAAAATTTTTAATAACGAACTTTTATGTATTAGCATTCGTTCGTTTTACATCGTGTTGAGGAACACCTCAGGTCCAGATAGGGTGGTAAACTATTAGAGAGATATGAATAAGAGATAAAACGTTTGGCATTGATCAGTTCCTGGGAGAATGTGCCATGCATTCAACTCCATGAAAACTCACGAAGAGTGGCTCCTGTAGGTGTCGTAATGGTTTTGTGGGAGTGGCCAGTAAGACAACCACAGGTCTCATTTTCTTTTCGGTGGTTTGTTTTAACACATGGAATTATTTTCCTACACTTTTTTGTTATTAATTGATAGCTTGTAGAACAGATATATTGTATTGCACGTTAGTAGGAAGTGCTCCATTCTGCACTTGGAAATATACAAAAAAAATTTTTCCAAGCGTGTACAGTAACCACAATTTTGGGCGCTTAAATATAGAATGGTAAAAATTACGGAATGCAAGTTGGGTATAAAAGTAGGACTCATTAGTTACAAAGCATTTAAAATTCTGACAGTAATGCGTTTATATGATGGACCATAGTAACAGGCAGTAAATAGCCCCATAAATACCATTTATATCCATAGAACGATAGAGCAAATTCTTTCCTAAAGTCCATTAGTGTACCCACGGAGTCCTCTAGTTATCCGGAAATCGTTATTTATTTATGAAGAAAAAGCCGGAGAGTTCATCACGACTGAGAATTAGGCATCGTCGCCAGCACTGCGTTGCGATGGATATGGCTACAAATATATGTAGTTTTCAGATATCTACGAATATTTGCTACAAATGGAGTCGACGTGATGGAAACAAGATGTTTGTTGCTAGTGTTGAGCTTGGCGAAGTGCTTATAGACCGGCCATCTTATATTAACGACAACCGTATATATATGACATATGCGAAGTTGTGGGTTTCTGTTTTATATTATTCCTATACTTCGTATATCTTCTTATGACAACTGGCTTGTTTAGCGTCCTCGACTGCACTCATCCACCTTATGGTCATTTCGTAAGTACTGGACTGATAGAATCGGTTCATCCTCAATATCAAGTTGAAGCGATGATGATTTTGAGAAACAGAAAAGTGTGTGGATTTTGACAACACCGAATTGCCTGGTTGTTTTTACTCATATAAATATCTGTTTTGATAACATAATAATGTAGGAGCGAGAACGTCAGGACGATTGTGCAGATCTTGACGTCCCGATTCAAAGTAAGTTAAGGGTTTTTGAAACGAATCCAGTTTGTAATGCTATTTTTGTTGTTTTTCAGAGAAATGTACAACAGCAATATGCATAGATGTTTACCCGTCAGGATCGGAATTTATTGTTGAATGCTACAGCATTAAGAACAGAGAACTGTATAAATTTCGGACCGAACATAAGGAGTGAGCATGTTACACACGTCCTTATTTTCACACTACAAAAAAAGAGGTCACATGTTGATTTTTATTGGTGGAAGTGTTCTTTTGTGAATATAAGAAAGAAAAGAAAGAAAGCTTAAGAATTTTGAATATGAAGTTTTTAAATTTTTATTTTTGAATATGAAACAGTTTTTGAATTTGAAGGGAACTGGCAAAGGTCAGAAGTGTACTCAGTTTCTCATGAAAGTTCCAAATCACTGGAGTATGTTATCATCTTTCCAATCTAAGTTTTCTGAGCATTAATACGTGACAGCTTTTTCTAACACTTTTTATCCCCACCAATGTTAATTAGTAGGTCAAACGACTTTCGATTTCTGAGTGTAACTTGTCATGAGCTCTGTAGATTAAGCTTTAAATTAAGTCAAAGTCGTCAAAAAAAGGTTTGTACGTGCTACTTCATTTCTTCTCGCTGAAGTATAGTTTTTGTGGTTTTTATTTTTAATTTTATGAAAGTAGTTGCTGTCATGGCATAGATCGATGATAAATTTAACCTTATATCATGTAACAAATACACCGCACTGTGAGTACTTTTGAACAGATTCACTCTTTTAATCAATTGGAACATTTCATTATTTAAAAACTGTACACATTAGCTGCAATTTGTATTTAATTTAATTAGTAACGAAAACAGTGAGAGCGATGAGCTTTAAATGTAAAGTGTGCCATTTGTGTCTCTGTAGTGAGTGAAGTACAACGTACGGCTATGGTGTAGGCAGGAACATACAGAGGTTTTACAAGTATGGGCAGCGTTCGTGGTGAAGTGTTTTGTTAATTTACGATGATATAGGTAGTACAGGTGGTGCAGACAATATGGCTGGAAATAAAACACAAAATCGTAAAGCGTCCCACATGGAGCAGTCCTATGAGAAAGCGCCATGTATTTGACTTCTTCCATAGCATTGCGAATGTGTATAGATGCATGTTTGGGGTATACATACAATGGGTTGCCGCGGTCAGAGATTTCTTTTAGTCAGCGTTTTTTATTCTCGCATCAGTTTGCCAACTCCTGAGGGATGGAAGACTTGCTTTGCCTGGGGCGAAAGATTGAACTAACCGAAACATGAAGACAAACCGTAGCAAATACTTCATAAAATGAATTTATTATTGAACGACTGTATCATTCTCTATCTGTAAGAAGTGTAAAGATTCCTCAAATGCACATTGAATTCCACCTTGGTTTTCGCATCATTAGAGAAGCTGATCTATTCTAGTATCGCCAAAACCTACGAAGTCCTTATCATGCTTAAATCAGTGAACAAGCATGGAATTTCGGATGTGGAGCTGTTAAGGACATGTAACGTCACCTCACTTGGTTCCACTGATGTCACGGTTAACAACGACGGAGCAGTCTGTGTGAGTTCTTGCTTATTAGGATTTTCATTGCGATGCGGAGTGAGGCAGTTATATTTTTAATTGGATTCTACACCATGTCCTTGCATCTGCAAATGAGCAGAAGCATTGTAAATGTAATAAATGTCTATACGAGCAACACTTTGAGTTATGTTAGGCTTCGCTCTCGTGTTAGTAGAAGCAGATCATGGCGTGTGATTTTACTCGTATTTGTAAGTAGTTATATTGAAAAATCCATGCATTTTTTGCTTCAGATTCATATTGGATTTTCTTACAGATTAAGACAAACGTGGGAATTAGCAACTGCATGCATCATGAAAGCTATAGTGGCAAAATATTCTGGGCGGAGCATTTCGGTAGAGTTTTACCAAGTGCTGAATGTGGTACAGTTGATCGGCACAGAATTTACTGGACATATGTACGAAAGTAAATTATTTGATAGCCCAATTTCCATATTTATGTATTAGGACTCCACTTTATAAGATTTTTAATGAAACATTTTTTTATACTCAGGGTGTGCCTTGATTCGGATGCTGATTCAACGGATATTAATTTTCAAATTTGCGGCTTACTAAAGCCAGTAACTGATGAACAAACGATTCGCAGATGCCAAAAACAGTTGTTGAAAGAGGAGGTCTGCAGAAGTTTTAATGATATGTAATGTAATGTACAAGTCCCTAAACATGATTGCCTCAATATTATTGTGGAAAACTACTTGTAGGACGAGCTTTATCAGCTACATCAGCGTAAATTGATCGCTGAGCAATACTCAGCTTATGAAAAACTGGGACAGCCGTCATTTGTACAAGGTGTTATGTTATTTCTACCGTTGCAGTTTACGTCATTGTTTTGAAGCTTTTGCTTAAACTATCTTACAACACCGCTTTTCTTCAGAATCAGTTTTTTCAGTGCTTCCATGTCCTAGAGATCTGATCAGAGGGAATGGCATGTGCGCGGACCCAAATCAAGTTCCAAAACTCACTCACAAAAAACGGCTAAGCACTTATATGAGCATGGTATAATTTTTCGAAAGTTAATATTCTTATTCAAGTTGCATCCATTTGTAGTGTCGAAATCGTATCAAAACTAATGGTTGTTCTATAGGCGGGTAGAATGATTAGCTTACATAAAGGGTTATCGTTCACTGTGTTTCAGTCTCGTTTATTAAATCGGTATGCAGTGGCACGGTACTAGGTTACTTGTTTCTAAACGGCATTCTACGCTTTTGTTTTCGTAGCACATGCTATTTTTATACACATGTTTGCTCTATATTGCTATAATTCCATGTTTATTCCTATTCAATTTGTTCAATCGTAATAAGAAATTCAATTTGATAGTTCACGATATCTCACAGTATTATTGCTTCATTTCGTTAGGAAATATCTTAGGAAAATGTGAAGCATGGTGGGTTTCCCAAATTTTGTAGTGAACGTGAAAATCATGTTAACGATTGTAAGAAGACGTTAACTGAAGTAGATACATGCAGAACTGTTTAAAAGGAATCCAGATGATTACGATTAAGTAAAACCACTTTCGGAGTACTTAGAATGAGTAAAGGTCAAGAAAAGAGCGACAAAGTTTTGTAGAAAGCAAAGAGATCATCGTTAAGTAGCTCGTTTTGCATTTCCTTTGAGTGGCGAAAGCGAGCGTTATGAAATGCGACAGAAAATTGGACTGTTTCTCAAACAACAGCTATCTCCACACCTATTTTAGTAAAAAAAAAAAAAAAAAGAAAGTGGCGAAATACCGGAGCTACCTATATATCAGAAAATATTCATGAACACTTTAGTGTTACAGAAATGGGGTTATCAATTCTAATTCCATGAGTCTTGACGGAATCATAAAAGTGCTGCGCAGAACCCATCAAAGTGCTGAAAGAACTATAAATCCACCCCATTGGCCAATTTGTGAAGAGTAGTTCTGAGGCCTTCTAACGGTTCACCGCCTCATCGTGGCTAGGAGGTGTTCCTGGCTGTTGGACTGCGATGTACAGCGGGGGATTCATCTCCTGAAAGGGTTTACCAAGCTGAGAAAAGTCCGTCAAAAAAGAAAAAAAGTTCCATCAGCAAGCCAAGCTAAGAGTAAACCAATACCAGGATCCACCACCGTCTTGGTATCAAAGTCGCATGGTGGCAAATCTCCCTCTGATCAACAAGCACAACGTTTGCCTGTGGTGCTGATGATCTGGGGTAGACTTTGGCCAGACTGACCTTGGGATTCCAGGGAACCACAATGGCTTAACCAGCAAATCTCCGAAAAATGGAGATTATGCTGGGACCCACACAACCAGTAATGACTGGCTATTCAAGTGTCAATTGTCAAGTTCTGATGCGCAACATCCGAGCACACCACAACCAATGGCGTGGAAGCTAGGATTTGGTTACAGAACTCTGCTTCGAACGACCCACTGAGGAGGCCTTTCTTCATTCAGGTGTCATTTTAGTAAGGATCGAAGAAACTACGTACCCATGGAATCTGAATAACTCACTCCTAAAGGCGCGTCCAAGAAATCATTTGCTCAGCAGGCTTAGAATTGCTTGCCGATAGAAGAAACAAACTTCCTGGAGAATTATTTCGTATTGAATGACAGTATTTTTCCAATTAATAAATATTGCTGTTTGCTATACTTGAAGTTGAACCCAAGAAATAAACTTCTCACTTTTTTAACAGCCTAATCGATATTTGCTACTAAGGTCCACCGCGTTTTCGCAGCTGAACATATTCAGAACTGCATTTACATATGACGAATGTCTTCGTCTTTGATGCAGTAATATAAGCGTATTTATTAAATTATAATTTTATGATATATTTATTTATGTGATCTTATAAACTGATCTTCTTAAGCTGACGCGAGGTTGGTACAGATCTTCGTTGTTGTCGTTGTTTTTGATGTTATTGATCGATGGCTGACGTTTCGGCGACTTCGCCTTCCTCAGAGCCTGGACGTACTTTATGTTAGAATACTTTTTATTATTCGGTGGAAAAGAAGGTTAAAGTATTAATGAAGATCAAACTTTCAAATAGACGTCATATTGAACAGAAAGGCCACTCACCGTGAACTACTTGTCGGCCAGTCCCGCACGTAACATTAACCTCGGCATAAACAGTTGATAACAACAGAAAGTCGGTCTTTCGAGTTATAATTTTATGCTCTATAATAATGATTTAGGGCTCTGAACGGCAATTGATGTTGGTCACTAAGGTAGCGAAAAATATGTCGGAAGCATGGAGCCGCATTCACGGTCGAGTCATGTTACCAGATCTTCGTGTGAGAGAGAATGGAATTTTTCTTCGACGAGGACACTGGTTTTATGGGGCAATAAGGTATATCTCTTTGTGTGTTTGTTCTTGATATTTCAGTTTTCTCAACAATCTGCTCCTCTGTACGCATCATAGATGATACTGTTTCAGCTTTTCGAATTTATGTCCTAATGGAGAACCTATTTTTCGGGTTAAAAAAGTCGAGTGCTTGTCAGAGCCTCTTGCTTACACCAAGGTTTCTTCGAGCGATATTCATGTTTGTCAAATTTCTTTTCCACTAAGTTTCGAAGGCTCCATTGTCTCTAGAAAATAAAATGGGGCAAATGTTAGTGTTATAGATTGAACTAGAAGTGGATGGAGCACCAGTGAAAGTACTGAAAGAAGAGTCAAATATTATTATCGAGAATGATTCGGTGGGAAAAATTAAGATGAGTTTGGATGAATATTCTAGAATCTCCGAGTCGCGGTGAGTGCTGAATATACCTGCTTTTCATTTTAAAATGTCCACCATCCCATTCATTTTATTGATCCGACTACCTTTTTCAAATCGTTTGATAAATTTCGAAAATAGTGAGCCCATTTTGTAATTCTACATTCTTACATTCGCTTAATGTATTTTGCTTCGTCAACCACGTATATTAACTCATAGTCGGTGCGTATGAAAAATTTACTACGATCACCATCATCACTGAGGTGTTGATGCTTATTTCTCTTGTCATAATGCATTAGTGATCGGCAGCTTTGCACGTTTAAAACAACTGACCATGAACATAATCAGTATGTTAACCATATAAGGATGTGATAAGGAGACAAGTGAATCGATATAGAACATTATGTGCTTATTGAAGCCGAGAAGTTGTCCAGCAAAAGCTTGGTTGATGACAAAGGGAATACTACTCGTCCAGAGCTGCTGAAGTGTGCGCCTGATGTTATTGACTCTTCCATAATCGGCTTAGTACTGAATCCATCCATAAATACTAGACTGAACGAGTGAGCCGTAACGACGTTTCTGAGACCAAAGCAAAATAATACAATGTGCACTTATGTTGTCCTGAAGGATTTTGCTTAAGATTATGGAGGTTCATGTATTTCATCGACCAGATTAGAACTCAAATCGTAATGCAGAGAGGATAAAGTATTTTGCTGCTAGTGGGTGAAGGACGCGCAGATCATTTATGTCAGGTAACATCACCATGTGCGGCGCAAACTCAGTAAATATTTCATGTTCGCCGAAGAGTGGTTCCTTCATCAGGAATTCTTTTCTTTATGAGCACCTGGTTAGTATGTTATGAATGCGCCTGTTTTAATAGGCAGTGTGCCCTTCCATAACGCGAAACAAGTACACATTTCTGTCGCAAACCGCTATCAGTGAACGTTCTACCTTCTCATCTAGTCTCCACGCATCAGCCCGGTAGAGATTATGTTCAAAAACTTCGGTATATGCATTGCGACTGACCAGAAAACGAGAGGTCTACCCACCCATTCCGATTAACGATGCAACGAGTCAAGTGAGCGAGGATAACTGCAGTGTCTTCTACAGACTAAAGACTTACATTTTTCCCCGCTAGAACCACCAAATAATTGCTCATTATCACCCGCGTTGAGAGATCTGAATAGAAGTTTTCGAGAAATTTAATTGTTATTTTCTGGAAGCATTTATTGCTCTGCTTGGAAAGAAGAAACGTAGTCAATCATGTATTCGTGTTAGGATGAATGCTGAAGCTTCTGCGAGCATATCTCACCTCTACTACTATGGCTCATTCCCTCTCATTTCGTTAACCAACTCTACGCAGCTTCGTAAGGTCAACAGTCAATTGGTTGTTGCCTGAGGGTGGTGACATTCTTCGCTGTCGTATCAGTTCTAGCGTTTTCTAGGGAAAAAACAATTAGGTGATTTTCGTTCTTCGGTCTCCATACTACCTTCGTCTAGCGTACAAAGGTAAATCCACAATGCCATAGGCTGGTTCAATATGTGAAACACAGTGCACAGACAAAAAATCCATTTGCCATACATATCAGTGTGTTCTGGTATTACACGTGTATTTTTATTTCCTCTTTTTTTTGTTCATATGAATGAAGGAGCTGATTGTCCAGAATGGAATTTCAGATAATATATGTTTAACTGCTATGTTTGAAGTGTCTTAATCCCATTTATAAACACGATCAAGTTTCAGAGTTGTCGCTCTTTTAAAATTCAATGACGACAATCCTTACCATTTACCATGGCAGTTGGTAGAGATTTTTCGAACCCTTCGACATGACGAATATTTCCCAGTAAATTTTCAACTTTTTTTCTTTCTCTGGTAACGTCATACATTCTAAATGTGATTTTTTTTAAGATTCTTTCTATGGATTGTTTGCACAGTGATTATCAGCGCTTGAGTTTTGGACGGGTTTTCTAGAGAATAGAAGGTTTGGCTCTAAATCCTTTAGTTTATATGAATTCATTTTTTGTGCAGTTCATTCGTTTCCGGTGTACTACTACTGTTAAGATTACTCTGTACTTCGTAGAGAACACTATTTAGTATTTGTTTTCCTAGTTGAGCGAATGTGCTATGTCTATTTGCGCAGGTGAATTTGCACATTACATATATACAGGTGTTCAAACCCTTTTGTGTAAGCCTTCTATTTTTATCTGATACATTTTCCCAAGTCTATCGTAGCACGAATTGAATTAGTTCTTTTTTAATAACTGCTATGTCTAGTAGAATCCAATTGTTGAGCTCTCTATTCACATAATTTGAAAGAGTATTGGTATAAACATTTGTTTAATTAAGCTTAGCATTGAGGCAAATCATCGTACGTAAATAACTACTAACCTTTCCTTGTTCTACTGCATACTGTTTCAGGTTTTCGTCTGAAATGTTACTATATCCAACATTTTGAAGTAGTACGGCTCTGATTTGGTATCCACGTACAATCCGAGTGAGTAGCTACCGAATTTGAAGCCCCGATATGTGAAACTTCGATGTTTTTCGTTCGTATGAATTTTCTCCTTACTTTCATCTATACTTTTTTCCTTTTATGTATCTCTAATGTGTTTATTGTCTTCAATGTTACACTATGAAAACAGATGGAGCTTTGCACTTACCTTTTCACGGATCTCCTTTATCCAGGCGATCTCTCTGAGTGTTGTATTTTACGGTGTATGTCCGGGAAATGAATTTGTTGGAAGATGTATTTTTTGTAGACAAGTATACACCATGCTTTTTCTGACCTGACCCCGGAGTTCTGTAAACCATTCGACAGAAAATGGGAGCTGTAAGTGTAAATTGTTCACTCGCGCCGCTATATTAGGACGTATACGTTCATAATGTCGCGAATAGTTAAATCCAAGTTTGGCATGAGCTGACTGTTAATCATAGTGCACTTTAATGGATAAGGATGTTTAAGAATATTAAACGGTCTCTGTTTTAGAAATACAATTCATTTTTTACAATATGATATGTACTTTTTGCATCGCTTAAAACCCTACTGAACATCGGTAAAACTGGGCAGGCACATAGAATCTCCGTTTGTAGTCATTCAAGAAGGTTATTTAAATTGGTTCCCCTTGTTTGAGAAACATAGGAGAGTCATATTTCTCTATAAGTACTTAACAGTAGATGTACCCGTAGTCTACCTCAGGTGGATCTGCGCACTAGCTCATCGATTATCTCAGCCTAAACGTTAGCATCGTAAGTGGTGATATAGAACATCTTACAGGTTTCGAGTAATTTCTTTCTAGCTTTTGGTTGAACTAGTGTGCAGACCACGTTGAACAAACAAAAGCACACCTACGCCGCATAGAATATACGAGGTAGACGAAATGTATTTATGAAAAGCTCTACTTGATATTTGAATGGCCTATCTTCACTGGTTGTGCGAGGCCCAGCATAATCTCCATTTGTCGGAGTTTTGCTGGTTTAGCCACGGTGTTTCTCTGGAGACCCGAGGTCAGCCTGACCAAAGTCTGCTCCAGGTCTTCACCACCACAGGCAGTCACCGTCCTTGTGGATAAGTGGGAGATTTGCCACCATGAGACTTTGATACCAGGACGGTGGTGGATCCTGGTATTGGCTTACTCTTAGCTCGGCTTCCTGATGGAAACGCTGGGCTCCTCAGTTTGGGAGACGCTGTTGGGGGATGAATCCTCCGCTGTACATCGCAGTCCGACACCCAGGAACATTTCCCAGCCACGATGAGATGGTAAACCGTTAGGTTTATGAAGAACTATATGTGTCAAATCTGTGAATCGGAGTGTGAAAGTCCATTAACCGAACTCGCGTCAATTTTAATCTGCGCCTAGTCTTGCATCCGTCAGCGTTACAAATTGCTCCACATGACGGAGGTCAGTAGAGGGCAAATTTGAAGATTAGAAAACGGGGAAAAATTCAAGAATTAGAGGGATTAATCCCAAGTATAGAACTATATGTGTATTAGTGTTTTCCAAGTATTAGTGTTTTCATACCAGCCCCACCTCATGGGCGTGTCACGAAATGACACTATAGCGTTTAGAATCAGCTCCTTAGAGACTGAGTATTGTAACAGGTATGCCTTTGCGCGTGGTTTACTGACATAGCCATGGCAGTGCGAATGGTTTACGATGTGATATAATTCAACCCATTTACTAGAATGGATGTAGTCATTGCTTTTACTAGTCGATAAAGGCCAAGATACAGCCTATTAAAATTTTCTCGATCGAGCGAACGGATAGTGGTAGGATTCACCACAACTGCAGGAATTGCTTTAACCCAGAATAGCCTTTCTATCAGTGGAGCAAATCCTCCGATGAACAAGTACCAGTGACTGACTTTGGTGGAAATGGATTTGTATGACTCCACTCGAATTCCAAGGAAAAGCACAATCTATTAGCGAGAAACAGTGTGGCGACTGGAAGAAGTTCTGCGACCGTCTTATGAGAATCGGCCTTTTAATCATTTAAATAGTCCAAATTAACCAACCTAAAAAATGTCATTTCTAATCTCTATTTAAGCACTTAGTTCATAGTACAAAATGATTATTGGACCTACTCATTTTTACTTAAGTCAGCATTAAATCTCTATTTTCAAGACAGTTGCTCGGTTTCGTGGGATAATAACCCACCTCTGAAATAATTTCGTTAGGATGGTATTATTTAGTTTTATTAGTTCGATTTGCCGAGCACGAAGAACTCACCAAACCCATCATCCGGAACTGAGACAACTTCGGTATTATGACGTTTCATATTTGCCGACTTTTCGCAAAACAGCGTCAATTGTTTAACACAATCCACATTTTTATTGCATAGTTTCGTTGGACAAAGGAACGCTGAAGAGAGTTCATGACCCTGATCATTTGGTTAACTGTCCGACTTATAAGGAAACCACATGTCGTCGTTTGACTTTTTAATACACTAACGATATGGAACTACTGCTTTACTTCGGCATTGTCCTCCTGCTTGTTATGGAAACCTTGCTTGTGAATCAGCCCCAATCATCGTCTTCAAATGATAGTCGCCGCTGCCAGCAGGTCATCTGGAAACCCCATTTCTTCCTAACCTAAGCTACCAGCTGCAGTACATACCTTTCGAATCCAAAGTTGTACCGTTTTCAATTATTTTAAGTCCATGCTTGCATTCATACAAAAGACCGCTCGAATCTCCTTTTATTCATTTTTAATAGCCGCTGTTTAAAAAAAATTAACATAGAATCTTGCAGTTGTGTGATAACAAGTGGGAACTGCTAGCTCTGTTGTTCAGCTACGGTGAAGAAATTGTTAGGTGTGTGTCAATAGTGTTAAAAGCTCTAAAGTTTGCAAATCGAACCTTTGCATAAACATTAGGTAAGCAGAAACATAACAAACAAACATACATACATACAGAACGCTTTAAGACAACAACAATGAGGGAGAGTGAGTCGACCGCCTTGAGTAGGACGCGGTGGCTAATTCCAATCACACAGTCTGCGGAAGAAGGCAACCAGAAGAAAGCAGTGAAGGGCAGTAGATCTACAATTACACGAATTCTTAATATCTATAAACGACTCTTCTATCTAAAAATGATGAAATATGTGAGACATACCTCTACATCTTATGAAATCAATGTTAATTGTATTGTAGCATAATCCCTTTGGAATAAGCCAATAATCTTCATAACATGTTTATAGGGATGCCATGTAGAACAATGTAGGATCAACAAGAGGGTAGTTATTTGAACAAATAAAGAATAGTCTCTGAACTTCTCTTCGCCTTCAGATGTTCGCATAAGTTCAGCAATCCCAGTACAATGCTCAATTTATCCACAAGAATTGGAGCTCAACAGCGATACTGCTATACGTTTAAGAAGAAAGCGTTTCCTAAGACAAGGAATGGTCTCTATTAAACGACAACGCTGAAAAAATTGTAAATCAAACTTGTGTTTTAGCGTGGTGTGTAGTAGTATAACAATAAAACCTTACACAAGGACAAATGACCTTGTTCTAGGAAAAAGCGCTTATTTTAAAAGGCAATATTGACATTAACATTGAAGAAGTCTGATAAACGTGCAGGGAGAAAGGAAGAAAAAACGAAACAAAACGAGATATTTTGATGAGACTAATTGCAAGGCCAAAATGAAGAGGCCTTTTCGGATTATCACACTCCTAATGGTATAGCACCTTATCGTGGGTAACGGTATTCCAGGGGAGCAGGATTGCGATATATAGCAGGATGTTCATCTACCGACATGGTCTCCTAAACTGAAGAGATCGACATTTCTACTAGGTAGCTAAGTAAAGGGTAAACCAAAACAAGGAAACTCATTTAAATAACAACATGGTAAGTGGTTAAGATCCGAAAAATCCCCAGCACAGCTAACTAGGAATATGAAACCTCCTCAACCAGCAAATTACCGATCAAATGAAAGGCAAGTGGTGACGATCTGGAAAATCCCTAGCACAGTTACCTAGGAATGAAAGACTTCCCCAATCAGCAAACTGCCAGGCAAATGAAGACTGCGTCGATTCTCTCACGATTCATTACGATTGTTAATGAAATGACGGTCGGTCCACTCGGATATTCGAGTATTCAAAAACGTTTTGAGGGACATTTCCTCCTATGTGTGGTGTCATGAGACAATTAGGTGGGAGTGGATATATGTAAATGTATATAATATAAGGAACGTCGATTTAAAAAACTTACAAAGGAAATTAAAAGCACTCACAGCGAATATTCATTCAGCATTGGTTGGATGCCTGTTTCATGAAATCCGCACTGACTTGACGGAATTCAAACGAAAATAAAACAGTAATATACACTATATATATGTACATACACGTATATATATATATATATATATGAGAGAAAATATCTGAAAATAAAGAGTACCAGTTAACCGAATCAAAATTTGAGTGACACAACGTCGGCTACATCGACTCGATGAGTAGATCAGCACTCGTTAGTAATTAGACCGAATAACCTGAATGATGAAAAATCGGAAATGTAACATTCCACAAATCTGAAACAAATTTCAGGAATGTAAAGTTCAAATAGAGAATTAGAGGGCGGTGATGGCTTGAAGGTTACTCTCAGTATGAGATGAATAACACAGAAATGTAGGGTAAGAACATTGGAGAATCAGTGCAAGCACTTTAATTTCACCTTCCTTTTTACATCCCTTCTACGGAATATTATCAAGGAAGGACAATAATGTTGACGTATTCGGTCACTACTGAAAACAAAGGTAACATAGTAAGCAGTAAAACGAAACAAGCATGGAATATTTTGTATTCCTTACCTTATGAGGGCTTGATTTCTTCGCTTCTGTAGTCGTTGATAGAAGAAAAACGAAACAAAATCATCATGAAGATGTAATGTCATTCATTCGCAGTTAAATATCCTAGAAGAACGTTTGATCCTGGATCCTGGTTTAGAGTAACCGTTCTGTCAAAGGTAATAATTGTCTTACCTTGTTGATGTCCATAACTGAGCCCAATCCAGAGTTGTTTGACACTGTCTTGAAATCCACCAGGAATCATTAACTCGTTGTCAACACAAGTTACTGGATAGTTTCCGTATAACCTCTGAAGGACCTCTGAAAGAAACCGCAATAAAAATTTCGATTTACTCATACAACACTTACCTTCATTACTGTTAGCAGTTAAATGTAAGCAAATTATGAAGTAGATGATGAAACAAATGAACGTGAACGATGGAGATGAAGGCCTCACCGCAGCGGAAATGGAAATCGATTGCTGACCACACATAACTGGTATCGATAGCCATGCTGCAGTACTGGAAACTGTTACTTAGAGCATTATCGATATTATTCTACTTAATTGTCGATCATATTCCATATTGAATTCTAATCAAAAATCAATGATATACCCGAAATCCAATCGATGAAGTCCGAAATGTATGAGGTATGTCAATATAGTGTTGATATTAAGAACTTAAATCTCAAGAGCATTACTCTTTCTGGATTTTCATGTTTTTCGTACCCTTTATTAAATAGACTTTATGACATTCCAAGGAAGTTCTAGTCACTTAGTAACTACTTGTGCTGTGACCTATTCAAGTGTCAAGAATCAGAACGATTCTTGTTAACTGTCGTTTCTTTTCTAGGATGAACGAGATTCTTGGCATGAAGAAAGAACGAAATCGGATCTCTTAGGAAATCTTCCAATTCACACTTTACGGAATCGAAACAAGTGGAGTGTAAATGATTTTTCTTTACGACGTGAGCTTACATCGTCGTAGAGGTAATGACGAATTTAGATCGTACTGATCATGTTCTTTATAGCTAAGGTGATGCTCATTATTGCTAAAGATAACTTATGTAACCTTTATGGCGGTTTTCTTTTGAAACATCTATTCCTCTGTTCGTAGTGTTGCCAATTCTTGTCTACTCCCTTCCTCTACTACAAAAGCTATCTGTATACTGTGACGTGAGTTTTTCATTGTTTGTTTTTGTATGTGAGCATCTTTGATTTTTCTTAACTTCAGTTATGCCTTTATCTTCTACATTAACCGTTTGTACTAATCTAAGTCCCGGAAACTATGAGTGCAATGAAAGTTAACGAACTCCATAAGAAATTTCTGTAATGATAAATTGCTTCGTTTAAATCTGACAAGATCAATCAAATGTGGTCGCCTTTGTGAAGTGTAAGCAGCTTGCTTCTTGTTGAAATTTCATAGAATAATGAAGACATCTTACGGTTTTACATATGGATAAGAAGCATGCTGAATAAAAGAATGTGGAAGCACATGGATGACTGGCTATTGGATAGATCCTTTTCACAACTGTTGCCGATTTCAACACAGTTTCTATGAGTTATTGTTTCATTATCACTAAACTCCATGAAGGTAGTTTCTTTCAATCATCACAGAGCTATATTTGTATTCTTGATCCTTTTCAGAAGTCCTGTACATTTGTGATTATTGCTGGTTGACATTAATTACGGAGATAAATGTTCATCCATATTGATCGTTGCCTTTCTAGAAGATATGGATTTCTATTTTTAGCTCATCTTATTGTTTCATCCATGTCCTAGAAATATTCCGATTCTTGTCTTAAAAGATGACATTAACTTTATGGTCATGAGATGACCGATTTTCCAACTCTTGAATGAATTGAGCCATCTCATAGCTGAATCGGTGATCGAATTCAACATGGTCCTGAGAAATTACAAACAGAAATCACACCCTTTACTTCTAGGAGCAGAGCAGTATTGTGAATTCTGTTTTCAATTGCTCCTTTTCCCTTCTATTTTTGCAAAAGTGAAAGCCTCTCCGTTAAGAAAAGACATATGATCAACACCTACACTCTAATGAACCACTTCTGATGGAGGTTTTCTGATGTTCAAGTCGGTGTGCAATAGAAAGCAGAACTCACAACGTTCACGACGTTTGCTTTGACCCAATCCTTGTCGACCATAATCTGTCAGGAAACCACCGGTCTTTGTAGACAGAAGAGTTTGCCGTCCTGCTTTCTCTTATGTTATAGTCGAGTTTTTGATATTATCTAATCTCAGCTGGACTTTCATAACCATGTGTTATGTACAATTTGACTTTGCTCCAGTAATAGGTTGTTGCTAGCTTTACCAGTAGAAGAAGATCGTTTATAGTTTGCCAATCATTCCAGATAAGTGTATGTAGGAAACGACTCATTATGTCGACTTTCCTTAGTTGATGTGAAGTCTTTGAATACTATTGCAGCTGCTGAACATGTTTAACAGTAAAGTATTTTATTCATAACAACTGAAACTCCATAACAACAGCATTGTGCATCAAGCCACAGCAGCAACAAGATCTTCTACAGAAGAGATCGCGTTTGAAGCACAGAAATCAGTCGTTGTATTCGATGATATAAAACTTCAATGGCAAGCTGAAATTTCGAAATATTAAAAGGCAACTAAGATAATCTTTTCTTGTAAAAACATATTAAATATGAGCAACGGGAGGAATTATTTCATTCAATTCTATGTTGTCGAACACATGATACGAAGATTAATCCATAGTTAGTACTAGCTACACGTACTAGCTGCCTTTCGTGTACGTCGGGTGGAATGGAATTACCGTTTCTGATCAACTCATTGTGCTGGCTTTGAAAATTACGTAAGCACGCGACATAATCTGTATCTAAAACATGATCTTAATCAATTACATAAAACTGTAATTGAATACAAATGTTTTTTTTGGAAACTTACAGAGTCGAGCAAAGAGATCTAACACCACCCTGATCAACATCGCTTCATCTCGTACGCCATTCCGTCGTCGAATGTTATTGAAATGATCACCAGATGGAAACATCTGTTCACGTCTGTTTACTGACCATTCAAATTGTTAGGGTAAACGAAACTAGGAGTTTCAATTTAAGTTAGCTTAAGAAAGGATGAATTGATCGTGTTGTGTTAGAGAGCAGATGCATATTCATAACAATAAGATTAAAGATATACCACCATTTAACAATGATAAAAATTAAAAGATTTGTTCTATAGAGTTATTCAGTTCACCCGAAACCTACATGGCTTCCGTGAGTGCAGCGTTGAAATGATTCCACCGCCTTCTGGAATCTTCCGCGAGCTCCGCCCATACTTGTGATATCGTGTCAAGACATGTCAATGCTCATTAACTTTTGTGTATCTGCGGATGTGGCAACGAAGCAACTGAAGAGATGCTTTATAAACGTGTATTCTGCAGAAATATTGAATTTATTTAGTAAAGTTGTCACTATGTCCTTGGCTATCTAATGGAAAATATGCACAGATTTCAATAGCCCTGATAACTGACGAAATTAGCCGCACTCCATTGTGGATAACGCCACATGTTTTTACGAATATGTCAAGGTTAGAGAAGCTGAAAACAGAATGAATCTTCCCAATTTTTGACTTTACACACTATAACATTGTGTGAAACCACATATGCAGTTCTTCTATAGAGAAGAACTAACTTTTTCTTGTAGGAAACAGCATTTGACTAAAAATTTGCTCTACATCGTGGATATGCTAACATTTGTATAGCTCCGTCTTTAGAAGCAATGCAAGCGCCAATAGATTTTCTATTCATGCTTTCCTGGTATGGTCGTGGTCCATTGTTATGGATCCTCATCCCTCCAAATGCGGAACATTGTTGCCAGAATAGTTTGAGTAAGGCTGACTCCTTCCAATACAAGCGGGAATGTTTCAGCACGGCTATATTAGCGCTCCACGGCACGGAACATTGACTCGCCCACCATTAAACGACATTCATAACGACGAAATAAGGATCCTAAAGCAGAAGCGAAAACCTTACGCAATATAACTTCAATGACACAGATACAGCCACAAGATTGCTGCGATGTTTGCAAAACTCCGGACCGCAGGTGTATGTGGTGGGGAACGAACGCGTTATTGTCCTTTCCGGGTAGTAACCCCCACCACAATACCATGCGGGCCCTTCGCTTCACCTGTCTCTCAGCTAGTTCTATCCACGATTCGTGCCATCAGCAATCACCCTTCAACGAGATTGATCTGGAGAGCCCACATCGGCATTGAACCCGGTTAAGCTGAGGCTGTAGTTGAATTCACAATGTTTACGTCTCCCCACCCGGAAAGGACAATAGCGCGTTCGTTCTCCACCGCAGACACCTGCGGTTCGGAGTTTTGCAAATATCTTAGCATCATTGAAATTATATTTCGCAATGAACCTTTCCATTAAAAAGACTAGGTAGTAAATAATAAGTTAAAATTGTGGTCATACGTAATATAGTTCGAAGATTTTCGTGGATAGTGGAGGCGAGGGAACGAACAGAACACAAAGAGTGCTAGGACACCCAGAGTGTGACACATGTGATTTCGAGTCACATAGTGCAACGAGATGTGAAATATATTAGTCACCGAACAAATTGGGTACGCATCAGCCAGGTCTCCATTTTTTGCATGCTAAAGTTTTCCGTTTGGTAAGTAATACTGAGAAGGTAACAACTCCATGATATGAGAATGTTTGAACTCATGGATGGATTGCTAGGTTCTCGATGAACGGAGGCCTTATTTGTGAAGGACATTTTTTTGCGCATAACGCAATCACTTAGAAGTTTTGCCAAAATCCATACCTGTGGAGAAATTTAAATACACGCCTGTGTATGAATGCGGGGATATTCATATTAGAAACTTAAGCTCATCTTGTAAACTAACCTACGACCCGGAAACAGTTCATGGGTACGGTCCACGTTTAAACCCCTATAAAAACCATAGCTAAGTACCATCGATACCTCATACAGATAGAGAATTTGGCGCTGACAATTCTATGCTAGTTTCCAGGATTACGTATCTTCACCCTGCTCCTTTTTACCTCTCGTTTTGACTCAGTTTCATCTTGCATTGATTATTTTCGTTGGTCGTTTGCAGTTCCAGTATAAATTGAGTGGTCCTTTCTACGGATGGATCGACAGTAGTACAGTAATCGGCTATCAACGAAAATCTCCTCATGGGGAGATTGTCTCCTTGTTCACACTTTGGTACGGCAATCGAATTTGTACATGAATGACAATATTTCTCTTCGCTCACATAACTTTTATGATACAGCTGTGTTCTTTGGAAATATAAATTACATAATATACATACTTCAACTTCATATTCAAAGTCCATTTGGCAACTTGTCACATAAAACAGTTTCTGAAAGATTTCTGAGATCACTGGAAATGGAGACGGTCGGAGTTTATTCGTGAACACGAGTTATTCTCGATGGAAACTTCGTTTCAAAAGTTGATAGTTGTCGTCGCCAATTGGATTTTCCTTCGTACCTTGACCCTGAAAATTCATTATACTGCAATTTTTCGAAACACAATAGTAGATTTGTGACATTAATGTTAGTTTTATTAATCTTTGTAACCTGTTTGGTATAAATCGCCACACATTCCTCATGACGCTTTTCGAGATCGCGCGTTGCTGCAATTGTCGCAGCGATTGTTTTGGATAGGGAAGAACAATGTGTGATACGATCCTCTCCCTCAACATATGGATAGTGCGAGGATTTCAATCAGCTTAAACACCTGTAGGTTATATTTATGAACTATGCACCTCAAACATGCTCCCATCCAGTGGCTTCGGGATTAGCGGACACTGCTGTGGTAATGGCTCGTTAGTGTCCAAGTGCGTTTGCCAATATGATAACGTTTCCATATGTTCCATTAAAAGAACCTGAACAGAAGCATAGCTCTCTACATATATTATAAATTATAGTAAGCCGATGTTCACATGAAGAGATTCCATCTCTCTTTCGACGTCGCCTTCACAGAGATCCTTCAAGTAATTCTGAGTTGTCTTCCTTTTCAATTTGTTACGTTGACGTTCGATTGCAGAAAACCTTAGAGCAGTCGATGGATGTGTTCTCTTGAGTGTACAATTGAAAATCATACGTAGAATTCCAATGTTTCGTCTTCTAGTTGTATGAGTTTTGTAAGCAGTACGTACCAATCTGCTGCATCTGAAGATCCTATGGCTTGGAAAACGATTTGTCGATTATCGCTCTCGATTATTAACGAGTTCTTCTGATCTGATGAAATGACGCGGATGTCTGATAACGATAAAGAACCTTTCGGCATAACATACTCTGTAATCGTTAATATTAGCAACAAAAGGATGATGAGCATATTTAGCAAAGCCATTGCAGATAATTCGTCTAACAGTTGCTACTGTTGCACAGACGATGAAATGGAGAGTTAAACTTTACGATAGAAGTTACTCCTTTGAGAATAGACGATTTTAATCTGTGCTTAGCTTTCCGTTCTTCGTCCTATTAACTAAATGACGACATTTCTGGCATTAAAACGCTATAAGCAACCATGAGATTTGTGCCAGATGAGTTCGGAATCCGTCAAGCGTACACATCGTCGTTTCTGTAACATCAACTGCCGCCATGGCGCACGAGATCCCGGTCGACATTCGATCAAGCAGCTACAATAGAAATTTGAAAATAACGTTAACGATAAAGCTTTGCGCCGAATGTAGTCAAGTAGAGATTCTCTAATATGCTAGGAAGATTATGTTTTCTTAGTTTACCAAAGACTTTGTACCCTAGAAGAATTTGAAAAGGCGCAATACCATGGAGACAGGAATTTCAGGTTATCAATAACAGGAATCAGAAAACCAAAAAAAACCACCAACCCTTCTTTGAGTATTGCTTTGCTCACTGTTTGTGACAGAGTATCATTTGCTTGTAAAGAAACGTCGTCAAAAAAGTTCTTCATCGCCTCACAATGAGCATCGTTGGCAATCTTTTCCAGGACCACTGACAACCATTGTTCCTACGCAAAAGCGATTATTTTTGTAAAATCGAAGTACAAACAATGTTTAATTTCGTTTGGAAAATGATAAACGCAAAATGCCAACAGGATTGGTCGATATGTTTGCCATGCTAAGCTTATAAAAAAGACGTTAACTTGCTTCAGCTTTTTTCAGAGCATCCTGCTTAGAAGCCTCACCTTTGAAGTGAGCGGATGTGAACTAACGCAACAGTTAGCGACACGCTGCAACATCTTCGACAATAAAACCAAGGTACGAGCTACTCGAGGTTCCTGCAAATGGCACAGAGTAATTATAAGATTCCATGATGGTTGGATATTTCTACGAATTTCCCCATCGAGGATCTCGCTCGACCACGTCAACCACAGCAGTCGACGGCTAATATTGCCCCTTTTTTTGCTTTCAAGTAAAATATGTTGGTAATAGCATAAAGCTATGTAAAAAAACATAGATGTCTTAACACCGAATCAAGGATTTCAATGATTTCTCCTCTTCCGACGATCTATTTATTTGTTTTCATAACCGATCATCACTTACTGTGCGAATCCCAGCACTTCTTCTATTTGGTTAGTTGCATCGTTTCACCTATCCAAGAACGTTATCAAATTGGCTTGTGGAGTCGGCTGTTAGTGGATGATTTTGTGTCCTTCAAGAAGTTGAATGACGACCACACTCATTCTTCCGGACACCTTGGAAGTGCTCTGTTTGAGTACTGCAGGGTCTTCGCCACAAGGCGTCGTCATTCTTTATGAACCAGAGAGAGTTTCCTCCCATAGATTTCTGATGCGAAATCGTCGATTCACGAAGATGTGCGACGTTTAGTTGGTTCGGATTTCAATCGAATTAAAGGGTATAGTTGATCTATAGGACTGCATCTCTGATAATTGCGCTTCCTATGTCTCCGATGATTAAGTTAGAAAAAACTTCCATCAACAGAGATACTGAAAATGCAACAAATACGCAGGATAATGAAAAAAACTAAGCTAGCAACATAGTATCATACCCCATACAGTTGGAAGCATCATATTTCAGCAGTATAGAGATGTTGTAGTGTTCCCACTGTTCTTCAACGCGTTTGCTATTTTATTATATGTTCAACAGAATGAAATGAGTGTGATTCCGAAACGAGTTCCACGATTCGATGCTTTTCTCGGCGTATTGGGCATGCATGAGACGCGAATTCGCAACTGAAAATGTTTCCAGAGTAATAACTTAAGACGAGAAGACTCCTTGAAAAATTTATACACTAGCGAAATAATTAGAATGGTTTTTTTTTCGTGACTAACTTATACTTGAAAGAAAAGCAATATCTACACCAGTTTCGCATCAAATGATTCGCAAATGTAGGTGCGATAGAGTTTGTGTATTCCTTCAATTCAAGGCGAATGAGTACAACTCTCCGAATGTATTAAATACATATATATATATATATACAAATGTATATACATACATATTTGCTTATTTAACTTTTTCCAGGACTATCAAACAGCTTTGTTAAACCTTCCGTCTTGAACCGATTGTCTTTTTTTTTAAAATCGAATATGATCGGATCACATTGAAAGGCTCAACATTAGGTGTAACTCAGAGATTTTCTAGAGCAAAAGCGCTCAGTGTTGGCCAATCCTTCTAGGACGTGCCATGCATTCGAGTCAATTCGTGACATCGTGGAAGGCATCGAAGGCATATCTAGCTCTATAGAATGGTCCTAGCAATATATGGTCAGTGTTTCTATCCTCCCAGAAAAGTATGGTCTCCAATTTGCGCACCGTATAGGGATGGGGGTTTGTTTGCCCAATGTGCGAGGTCCAACCAGCGATGCGTTTATCGCACGGTACTTCTAAACACTGCGGCATACGCGGCCCTTTTTGAATTATGAAAATGATCACACGCTTTTAGATGTAGTGTGTAGATGTTACTTTTCATGAATATATAAGTAGTCATTATTTACTTTGAAATTATTCAGAAAGTTTAATCTATAAGGTCTCCTGGTATTTAAGCTATTACTTTGAAAGTGAACATCCTTCATTTTCAGTCGTGAATTTGCTTCCTTTATCAATGATGTTTGCACTATCCACCCATCATACATCGTCAGCGATGATAATAAAGATTTTGACGATATTAATAGTGAGTCCATCAAATTGCTGAAAACTTTTTGGTACACACTAAAATAATTTAATCTCAATAGAAAAATTTGTTCTGGCTTTGAAGAATTGTTTCTATCGGAAACTGAATGATCTCACCTAATATGAACACCCTGGATTTCAGCGAATAGTTAATGATGCTTCACGGTCAAACTTTACTTACCGGTTGTTCGTGTTTAATTCCAAAGGTCTTCGGACTGAGCACAGCGGCAGCGAAAAACCTCATAATTAGAAAAGAGGAAAGCGCGAGAAGTTCGACGTCAGGTCGACCTGGAATACATTATATTTTCAAGTTAATGATTCAAACTTGTTACAGACGGGGTCCAGTCATTTGTTCACGCGTTTCTAATTGAGTTCGTTATTGTAATGAGACTATGTGAAACCTCAATAATGTGTGGAATTATATACTCATGCTAGTTTGTAGAAGTTTTGAGAACTCAAATTCTACATCCCCTTTTTCGGTTCAAATGGTCTACATTATAGTGCGGTAATTACGTCCCAAATGTTCCCCTTTTGTGTGTGCTTTGCACTGCACTCAGCACTCTTTGCCTATGAAAGGTGACCAAATTAAGGATTTCGACGAATATCGTTCCTACTGGAACAAAAAAAAAGATCCACGACAGGTCATGGAAGTTGTTTTCTGTTCTAGAGAAACAACGAAATACTACATTCTGTTTCCGAATTTACGCAGTTCAAGAGATGGTAACATAAATCAAGTTTCGCATGATCATCTTTCTGGAAAACAAGAACAGGGTAACAGTCGTCGATAAGTAAACGATGGTATCTTCATTAACTGCAGATGAAGAATCCAGTCACCAAATGGACGTGCATATGGTATGGTGTATACAGAGCCCATTACTCATAACGCCGACTTTAACGAGATCCGATCTGATCTTATCACCTTGTTTAAACATCCTCTACCACCTCCATTTGATTTATTGCACAAATCAGTGTAGCTCATGAAAGATAATTAGAAGCGTTCTGTGATCATTTAGAGGAAGGGCTATCAGCTCACAGAGGACTATCAATCTATTAGGTCTGATCACCATCCTATATGTTCTAAAACTTTATTCGTAGGATGGAAAAGAAGTTTTATCAAAGAAGAAGAAGAAGAAAAGGAAATATTGCGTACAAACTGAAGCTTTATTTGTGAAAAGCTTTCATTAAATGACTGAAAGATCAAGAAAGACCAAACCGAGCATTAAAAGCGCATGTCAAGGGATTCTAAAACTGGTATACGCTTCACTTCTTCACAGTAGATGTTCGATTCGTAACTCCACCATGAACATCAAGAAAGTGTTAAGGAAGAGAGGAAAAATTAAGCTGTATCCAACTGTAACATACTATAACGGTTGGTAAAAATGTCATAGATATTTCGACAGATCTTTCATTTGTACAGGAAGAATAATCTGTTGGGAATAGTTCATGTATCGAAATGAAACTGAAAACAAGCATTCTACTCCACTCTTCATTGTACAACTCTCATCTCATACCAATTAGTAAATTCCCCTTTGGTAAAAACCTTCTCCAACTCTTTTCATCCGACGTCCGAGATGCAACCGAGAAAGTGCCAAAGCTTCACGATCGGACAAAATCACAATTTCTTGAAAGTGGAAACAGCGAACTATACGCAGTTATCGCAATGCATTTGACGATAAACCTTGAAAATGAAGGGAACCCTCACTGGTGAAGAAGCACGCGCACGGCTATCTTGTTCAAGAATGGTAACAGTGGGAAGCCTCACAGTTGCCGGCAAAATTTATTGGTGGACTGTGCACCGAGGGCATCCTGTCTTACAACGTATATCAAGTGTTTGGAATAAAACTCAATTTTCTGAGCTGAGTGATGTTCTAAAAACGACAGGGTCTATGGACCAGATCGAAAGGGTAGCTGGTACAGTGAAAAACAAAACAAGATAGATTGCTGTTTTTTTATAGCCACTACGTTGTACGTGTACCTATAACCAATCAGCAAGGAAGGAACATGAATGAGGTATTGTACTAATGAACTAAAACAGCAAGGACTATGTTCAAGCCTCTTCACCGCTCTGCTACTCAATTGGGGCATGATTTGAAATTTTACAACATAGGTATCTTTTGCATCACACAGTTAGTGGTTGAACAATATCTTTCCAAATATAAAAGCAGACACATCAAGCCATATCAAGGAATCCAGATTTGCAAAAAATTTCGCATTTAATATTCGGAGGGAGCTCAAAATACGAACGTACATACTCTATTCACATAAAGAAGCGTGGAGACAGATGGCCGAATAGGTAGGTAGACCTCATGACCACACAAGCACCCTCTATAACGACTCCTTACAGGACGGAAAATGTTTATTGTACTACGTCATCCAGCTGCATTCACAGCCGCAAATGATTTATGAAATATTGGTAGACAATCGCAGGGATAATAATCGATGAAGCAGACCATTTTCATGGCATGTGACCAGAAGTGAGGGAAGTAAGTGGAAAATGTGCTGGTGTCCGAGCAGCTGATGAAAATGTGCCATTCAAGTACGCTAAAAGAATGTTCTCTGTCACATAGAGGATCATCTCCAATTTTTTGGAGAAATTACATCTCTCACGCCAGCTGTATACTATTTCTATCTCACATGTACGATGTAAGCACTAATTATTTGAACTTTCAACGACTGTTAATGGTATACTGTATCTGCTTTATGCTCATAAAGTTTCAGTTATGCAAATTAGGGGTTTACTCTATGGAAGTTATGAAGCTTGTCAGCTTGTCAAATCGTAAGGAAAGCTGGGATATATTGATTTAAAGTTGGAAGCGCCCATTATTTTCGCATCCTACATAGGTCACATCGTTGCATGTTAATTATTAACCTACCAGTCTTTTCACGTACTACCATTCTCAGATCAGAGAGTACAGCTTTAAGCGAGGAAGGACAATGCGATGTAGATTCAGTAATGCACGTAAAAACGAGTGAGAAATAACAAAGCAGTGCTCTCTGAAAAATTACATTGAATGAAACAGAAGAGAAAAAGAAGGAAACATCCTCACCATATTCTTGTCAGTCGATTCACCTTGGTGTGTACGACTGGGGTCAACTTCACAACAACGCCTCTCTTTGTAAATCTGCAAAACAAAACTGGTTCAGAAATACTACTAACAATGTACATGAGATTGAATTACGGCTTACTTTGTCAATAACAGGCTTCAAAGTGGTTAATAGATACGAGCGTCCATAAATTTGCAGCAGTTCGTGCAACATTTTACTGGCAAGCGTATGACTACGGAAGAGTGTGTTGAGATCTCTTAAATGAGTATAAGCTGTAAACCAAAAGTAGTAGAACAATGAACGGTCGCATTGGCGAGAAAAGAAACGTAGAACGGGAGCCCTAGTTGTTCATTCCCACCATGATCGCTTACGTCTCAGGAATCCTAAAGCCTTTCTTCAGTTCAACAAATCTGATCCATTTCAAATAAAGTCTTCAAGTTAACAAATTTGAGAAACACTATTTGGTCTCGTGATATTGAAGGGAGTGCAAAAGGAGAGAAAAGAGAGTCCTCTTTGCAGAAAAACATAATATTCTTGGCTTTTGGCTAATATGGAACCTTCTTTTCTGAGAGGCAACACATGAAAACTAAATCAATTGGTTAACAAGAATTGCAGTAAGTTCTTTAGATATTTGAATTCGATCCTGTCACAGTCGGATGCTAGACGTTCTTCATTGACCAGAAAGCAGGTCGGACTTCCGAAGAGGGAACAGAAGAAACAACATATTCATAATCATTGGTCCGACAATAGAGGAAAGAATGAGGAGCCGTTGAAGGTGTTGGAGTGGAAGCCGTGAATGATTTCCTCTAGCTGTTTTGAATCCAGTGACTGCTTCATGTGGACGACGGATAGCGACAACCTAATTTTGTAGTCCGCAAAGTCCTATGAAGCGTGGATTCTCTTTTATCAGTCGATATTGCTACTCTTTTCCATTTACAACTTATCGACGCTAACGATAACGATCTTAACCAAAAACCGGTTAATAATCAGCTCATATTTTACATGGATTTTTGGATTTCATTTGTTAGATATTCAGGCTTCCCTTCTTTGCTGAGAAATTAGGAATCTTGCCCAAAGAAGTGATGGTTTTAACCTTCGAAGAACTTTGGGATAACAGCAACACTAGTAGGGAGAGCCTCCATTCTATGGAAACATTGTAAGCGATCCTGGCATGTTTGTCTTCTTCATTTCTTGTGGTAGAGGCTGACGATTTTTTCATTATATTACTCTTAATAGTTCCGCAATGTTGTTGTCATTTTATTTTCTGTTGCTTGCATAAGCATACAACTACCTAAACTGGAAGTTAAACACAACTACGAACCTTGTGTAGCACATACACATTCCTGCACTATATCTTTGGTATATAAGGTATGATCTTCTTTGTTGGATTCCTCTAAACCTATAGGGAATGTCTCGAATTCGTTTCCCACCTTAGTATGATGTTGGTACATAAATGATTAAGGTTTTCAAATGAGACATCGGTCCACATCATTCAATAATAAAGATTGAAAGTTGGTTCTTCGAACAGATCGATGTTCACAGTTAAGCTCCTGTTGAGTAATACCAAAGATTCCAATTCCTCTGAAGCTGCTCGTTCCGTGAAACAGTTCTTCTTCAGCATCACAAATGGCTTTTGATAGGCGATATCTTGCCATTTTGGTCAATCTGATGACGATGCACTTTAATCCTCTTAGCTCGAATTACTATCGTAACCAATCCTGCAGTGTTATCAAACAGCAGAATCTCAGGGCTCTGTGCAACACATTTTGAGTTGCAACATGAAATAACAACCAAGCATACCAAACAGTTAATGGGTCATCTTACAAGCAGCGTGTATGAAGCTGTTAGATGCAATATATCCATAAAAGGTCCGCTATGGTTGCATCACGGATTTTTCGCTCCCAATTACAACCATCACGAATAGTCGAAAACACAACAACATGGTCACCTTCCATTTCGCGGCGTTCCTTGTTCTGTTTCCTTGTTGAACACGGTTTCAACCCCTCGAATTTTATCGATATAAAAGGCTTCATTTGGAAGGCTTCCTCAACTTTTTGTTTCGTGAACATGGATTCTTCTTTTCGCAACCTTTTCGGTAATAATGATATTGGTAAACCAGTCACCAGTATAAAGCTAACTCACCCATCACTACTATCGTCTCAGAAATGATAACTGAGAACGATTTGACCACGGAAACAAATAACTGCTTAACCACTTCATAAGAATTAACCGTGACGATGAACTGCTTGATAAGCATTGAAGTCTACACACTTGTAGAAACGAAGTAACGAACCATTGAGAGAACGTGTCCATGTACGGCCTATATATTCGGCTTCGCTATCGTATGAGAGTAATGGGGGAATATGAAGACATCCATAGAGGGCATTTATCAACAATCTGATTTGATACAAGTTCTTCTAAAATCATCAGAAGCTCATCCACCTAAGAATGCTCCATGCTTTTATTCCTCTTCAGATATTTGTACAACTTTGACATTTTTTAAATAAAGAGGAACAAAAACTACGAATGCAACATAGCAAAATGCTTTGGTCCAATGTACATGAAAGCACTCAAAAAACGCACTCGATAGTCAACAATTTCTTTAATTCCGCTGCATATTTCTATTCTAATTTGTCTTTTGTTTTCTCTTAAAGCTTACCATGGGCTAAGATTTGTTGTGCATTAAGTTGTAGAATAAAGACCGGCAACAACTTATGACGATCTTAACGGTTTTTCACTCCTATCACAGTAAATTTTTTTTCCAAGATTGCCATAGTAATGTGCAATTGAACATCATATTAGTTTTTTAAATGATGAGAACTAACTGGCATCGTTGAATGTCAACAACATAAAGAGCTTTAAGTAGTGGTCGCAACTCTCGAGTGCTGATCATGGCATGCACGATAGGTCGCGCGACATGTCCAAGATCCACCTTAAAGATTTCTGTGAGAATCTATGATAAAGCTGATGTAGCCATTTTGTTGTAGTAATAATAATCACAGTATCAATGTGAATAAAGTTGATATGTTAATATAAGTCAAAATTCCATCCGTTTACCTTTGGCAGGTGCTCAAGTAAGCAGACTAAAGAAGCTGAAAATGGTCCAACGTTCGTCGACGTAGCCAGCGATGTCATCAAGTAACTAAATAGTTCAGGAATACAGTTGTAAATTGAACAAGTTAACGATTTCACAATGACGTATACACTAGTAATGATTGGCTAGATGCTCTCCACTAGTCAACTAAACGTTAACAATTAAATATTAACATTAACTGCCATTCTCAAAATTTTTCTTGTCGAAGAAATATATATGTATATTGCAAATAGTCATGTATATATATATGTAAGTATATATATATATATATATATATATATATATATATATATATATATATCCTCGCAACGGTTTACCGCCTCATTGCCGCTGGGAGGTGTATCAGGGTGTCGGGATGCTATGCACAGCTGGGGGATTCATCCGCTGAGCACGATCTCCCAAGCTGAGGAGTCCAGCGCCTCTATTCCAGGAAGCCTAGCTAAGACTAAACCAGTAACATCATCCGCCACTGTCCTGGTATCAAACTAGTCGCATGGTGGCAAACCTTCCTCTGATCCACAAGAGCAGCGACTCCCAATGGTGATATGCAGCAGACCTAGGCTACGCTGACCTCGAGACTTCAGGGAACTACATTGGCTAAACCACTAGGACTCCGAAAAATGGAAATTATGCTGTGGCCCGCACAACCACTGAAGAAAGACCACCAAGTATCCAAGTATATATATATACATATATATATATATATACATATATATATATATATGTATACGTAAAATATATAAACGTTAGCTGACTGCATTAATCAGAATAGACATGGATATGGGTACTTTCACAAACATAAATATTCCAGTAAGATACCTGTAGTCTTCAATTGGTAGCACATGATCGGCCGTGTAAGACAGCCACAATTTGAGATCGCCGAGAGGTTGTTTATTGGTGGGTGCCTGAAATACAGCACTCACAACGAACACAATGTTGACATTGGTGGCAGTGGTATCTGGATCACTTTTGAGTATTGAGCGAACTAAGCTGATGTCAGCAACTTTTTCATGGTTATTTATTCTGTAGTTCTTGAACTGGTGAATATCATCCCACTCTTCTACAACCTGAAAAATCCACTACGCTTCAGATTTCGCCCAGTACCGCAACACTACCCCAACGATTCTCTATTTTCAGTGAGGCCCTGAATTTCAAGACCTCTTGTTATCACCCAATAGGCTATTGCCCCCAAAACATAGCTCTGCTCACTGTGGGTTGAATGACAGCATAGTGCTGGGCATTATCTCAACGTGTAAACAGCCAAATTTGTTCATATTTATATGATTTATCGAAATAAACTATAATAAAACTTAACCTTTTTATTTAATGCCTATTCCTTTTTAATAGCAGGGTATATTGCGAAATATAACTTCAATGATAGTGAGATAACTATAGCGATACTGAGATATTTGCGAAATTCTGGACCGCAGGTGTCTGCGGTGGGGAACGAACGCGTTATTGCCCTTTCCGGGGAGCAACGCGTTCACCACCACACCATGTGGGTCTTTCGTTTCGCCTGTCAATCAGCTAGTTCTATTGATCTTTTGCCATCAACAACCACCCGTTAGCAGGATTGATCTGCGGAGCCCAAATCGGCGTTGAACCCAGTTAGCTGAGGCTACAGTTATATTCACAATCTTAACCTTTTATTTACTGTCCATTCTTTTTACTTTTTTTAAGGACCCGCATGGCGTGGTGCTGAATGCGTTACTCCCCGGAAAGGACAGTAGCGCGTTCGTTCCACACCGCAGACACCTGAGGTTCGGAGTTTTCCAAATATCTCAGAACCACTGAAGTTATTATAAAACTATTCTTGTCCACCTTTATTTTGTCAAACTGGTCACTATGACGAGGGCGAAGATAAAACCATTTCGAAGGCCCGCTTGTCCATCGTTCATCCACATCCACCCTGAAATAAAGCTAAAGTATTGGGACCTCGATAGGTTGCTTTCTTTCATTCGCTGCATTCTCACTTCAAAAAGATGAAGAAAAGGATGGCCAGAAAATACCAGCATTATCGGTATTCGTACGGATTTGTCTAGATTTTACGGTGCATATGAAGACTGCATGCGTAGTTTAAATCGTAAGGATCTATGTTTTAACGTTCACAAAAAGCTGATATGCCTCAAGCACTATCAAACGGATATAGATTAACACTTTTATTTTATATGACCCATTTCCACGTCTGAGGTGCGGATCCCAGCACTTCCCACATTCGATTCGTTTCCTCACATCCACCATCCACGAAGATCTTGCGATTTTTATGCGTGGCTTAGGCTACTGCTTGAGGATTTTCGTTTCATCTTGAATGTCTAGAATGCTGGTTGAGTCGATTCTCCCTGGAGTCCTGAAATAGCTGGCCTGGAGCGCTCCTAATTGGATTGCAGAGAGTGATTTTTTTCGGACAAGTCAACCACCAATGTCCCGACCCCGGCGGGATGAGAGGCTTGGCTGAACCGGAGTGGAATCAAACTGGAACCATGCTCGTGTTGACCGACATCACTACCACTGTGCTATTCGCCCGATTGATTGATTGATTGATATTTAGAAGCGGACAAAAGATACAAAAACTGCATTCCAAAAATAACCGTAAATAATCAAAGAACAAGCGAATACTTAAGTTATACCTACATGAAACCTCCTGTTAAAAAATTTAAACTGATGCTTTTAAAATAACAGTACCGTATTTGCCCATGAAATGAGCTACTGAGACCGCGCAGTGTTTCCTGCCAGAGACTCATTCGTAGCGCCAAAGTTCCCGTCTCATCACAGCTCATCTCCAACCATTCACTGTTCTGACCATTGGAGCCAATTCGTAGTTTCTTTGTCTCCTTGAAGAATAGGACCGTTGTTCTTTCTCACCTTCCCTCGCTCTCCTTCTCACACTTTTAAAAAACGCCTTGCTGTGGTCTATAAATTATTAGGCTTCCGGAAATTAATGTAGTGTTTGCAATTAGATGTCTTCAATGTATTTCAGCATTAACTTTCCCAATGTTATATTACTACATGCCAATTGAAGGATTATTTGACGCACTTTTGCTTCATACACTAGAGTTATGATATGACTTCATTTTTGGAGAATTTTAAAGTTAAAGGATAAAGCCGTCGGTATCGATCAATCCCTGAGGGATGCAGCCTGCATTCGACTTCATTAAGCATCGTTTTTCTCGAGAAGGTTAGGCGCGAGACTACGTGACGCATCCCCAGGTGGCCGATAGGGCGCTAATCGCAGAGCAAAAGCGAACGTACGTTTCCCTGAGACGCAGCTGGATCCAGGAGAAGGACTCTCTGTTTCAGCTGTGCCGATTTGGCACATACTTCCTGTATTTGCGAGGCGCATTCATGCACACGTGTGTGGGTGAGTTCAAGTTCACGCGGATTCTATTCTACGCTTCAATTCTGAAAAAACCCTGCAATCAAGTTACAGGGAGATAAATGGGAAGCGGTTAGGAGTCGCCTCCAACAAATAAGCTCCATGTC